AGCATTTTACATCCGTATATCTTGCAAAAAGCGCACTTTCTTAGAAGAAATGCAACATTATCTCGCAATGAAAGTATGAAACGCATTTTGCCGGGAGAGGAAGTAGTATATTTCACACATATAAATACATTAGTATGTGCAACGACGCAAAATCAGGACAAATTAACAGAAGAATGTACAGAAATAAGATTTCCTCTAGCTGAACGGAATGGCATTCTCCGAAATTATGTTTTTATGTGGTGTCGGGATTCACTTTCAGCTTCCACGTGCAGTTTGCTTACGCTCTTTGATTGCATGAGCTGTCCATGATTTTGCTACACCTTTTTCGCCACGCAGTGCAATATAGTGTACTTGGCCGAAACTTCTCCTGTTGGATAAGTGGTCACCGCCGACTTCATCTTTTCAAAAATGCTGCTGACTATTTTCTCATTCACGTTTTCCGGAACGAACCCTTGGAAAGGGTTCATCGCGCGTTGGAAACCTAAAAAAGGAAAAGAATAAAATGAAATGATTGCGTTGTTCCTTTTGTTTTTGTCGTAGAAATTTTCAATGTCACGAACTTTTCCGTATTCGTCTCATAAGAATTTTCTTGAGATACTCACGGTCCAGCGAATTGATCGTCGGGAAAACCAGTAGTCGCATCAGGGATTGAACGACTTCGGGTTTGAAGCCTGCTTCTTTCAGGTCGTTCGTGAATATTTAGAATTTTCTTGAGATACTCACGGTCCAGCGAATTGATCGTCGGGAAAACCAGTAGCCGCAGCAGGGATTGAACGACTTCGGGTTTGAAGCCTGCTTCTTTCAGGTCGTTCGTGAATATTTTTACAGGATCGGATTTTCCCACGAAAAGCCCCATTGCAACCGGTGGATTCTAGAAATGGAAAGAACAACTCTCAAGAGACTCCTAGATGTATTTGAATACAAACTTTATATTTTTAAACAAAAATGTGAATTCTATTCATGCGATAATTACATTCAATTCATTCCGAATCGGAAAATCAAAAGAGTATACGATTCTTTTATCGAACATCATTTAGTAGTCGACTCTCATAAAACCCTCGAGAAGAACCACTGCTTAAACGAGGCTTTTAACTCTTGTTCTCTGTTACTGACGATTTTTGAAATATTAAGGATTACATTTCATTTTTAATATTGTTTCCGGCAGAAGCATTCATTAACGCGAACAGCAAATCGAAGATATCGCCAAATAAGAGTAAAATACTGTATGCACCCTGGTTCTCGAAGCCATGTTTTGCCATCCAATTTTTTTTATCGAAAATTGCAACTTGAATAAAATTGTCCAGGGAAGGTATTCCTCCTGATTTTTGCGTGGGTTGGTCTTATTTTGAGCCAACGTCGCGAAAATTTGACTTATTTCGCATGATAAATTATAACTTCGAATGTTTTTCACGCACCTTCACAACGGGTCCAATAACAGGATCTGAGCGCAATGACTCGAAGATATCGAACTGTGGAGCGTTTTCAAACAAGGAACAGAAAAGCACCCCACCTCCTCGCAACAAAGGCTGCAATTGTTCCAGAACGGTCCTGAATCGGAAGTGCGAGACGGAAACAAAATACTGTACTGCTATATAGGTTCGTGTATTCCGCAAGTCTCATACACTTCACTTACTTGTATTCTCTGATCCATTGCAAGCTGAGGAAAGAGACGATGTGAGAGAAGCCCGAAGGATACATTTCTTTGAGATCCCCGAGTCTGTCCGGCGCGAGATGAACGTAGCCGATGTTTGGCCCACCGAAGTTTTTACGGGCGTAATCAACCATGGTCGGATTCATCTCCACCCCAATCATTTCAGCTTCCCTGATGGAAAATGCTAGTAATTCGATAATATTCTACTGGATATGAGAGAATCTTGAACTGTTTCAATGATCCAGGAAAGACGAACTTCGGATGACACACGTATGTACTGTATACAGAAATGTGACAAAATGTAAGGATTACACTATACCAGTAGTAATTGATATTATGAGTTTATTCTCTCTTTTTGGTTTAGAGTAAGTTAACCACCTCTAGTTCCAGAAGATCATCAGGTTAACAAGAATAATTGACCTTCACTGGTCTTTGAAGGAACCTTTAAGAGGTTCCCCTACACTACACAGTCGACTCTCTTACTCTGGTATTATATATTTACTGGGTGATCTCTTTCTATGGAAGTTTTACAGACTTTCAAGTAAAGTTTTGATCCTTGTGAGCTGGTGGAAGTGTTGAGATCGTTGAGTAAGTCCGAATTTATATGCGCTTGCGACAAGTGATAAAACAGGATTTTTTGGATTTGTTACAGAACTGCACTGAAGCGAGCAATTAATTTATCTAAAAACCCTATAATAAAAGCGATGAACAGCCAGCAAAATGGGACAAACTCAAAAAGTCTTCCTTTAAAAAATCCTACTCATCATAATGCCACAAATTCCTCAAAATCTACGGAACAAGTCCCATAAAAAACTTAGATGCACAAAGCAACAAAATCAAGAAAAACTAACAAAAAACCTTTATTTGAGAAATATCTAGAGCCATTTGCATTTGAATTTGTTGAATTGTGTTTGAAGCATGAACTACATTTTCGCGGCAATACGTGTGAATTATCTTTGTTGAAGACTTCTGCTGAGTTGTTTTGATTCTTCATACAGTATTTCTATTAAGCAAAAACCTTTGTTGGGACCTTTTTTTGAAATACATATTACGCTCTTTTAACTCAGGAATCCTATTTGGATTCCCGGCCTCGTCCCAGGCTGATCAAGTGTTTTATTTATATTTGCTTTTGTTTTACTTGATTCACAGTTTTTTTTTCACAAAATTTATTTTGAGGTGAACTATTCCACAACGAGTTTTCAAAAAAATATTGAACGAGGGAAAATTTTCCGTGTTCTGGATACAGTAAAAAAATAGTAACACGGTTTGGTGAATTTAAAAATGGATTCATCGAATTGAATGAACACTCTGAGATGTTCACAAACCAATTTTTACCGATCTGCAGCACACACTTCGGTAATTTAATTTGTTTGTTAGAGAAAGCAGCGTCCTCGAATATTTTTCTCTCTCGTAGGATTTGGCTTTCTTTTCTGTTGCTTATATTCTCTAGAACATGTATTCGGGCAATTCGATTTTTTCTGTCACGAATCTAATTTTAGAAAAGGAAAAAATGATAGTATAGGACAGTTTTTCGAGGTAAGTTAAATAATAATAGAAACATTTGAGATATTGACTCACGATGGAAGCAGAGGTGCGATGAAAGACTTGGCGTAGTTACCGACCCGGGAATTGAGGAACAAAACTCGGTCATGAGGACGGATTTTTAAATGTGATCCGAATTCGTCCATAACGACAGCAACGTCACCCATGACCTTGCTGCTCGCTGACAGGAACAAATTGGGGTCACTAAGGGCACTCGGGGATGCTGCTGCTGCAGGGGCCATTTTAATCTCTATTTTTTCTTTTCTTTACAAATTCTTTTCGGAGGTCTGATTCGGAAAATTGAGAGGTTCACTGTAATATTTTCTTCTTTTTCTTCCTCCTTGGCAAAATCCAAGTCAACTCAAGTCGACCGCGGTTTTCTATGTTCTGTGTGAAGCTGGAAGGTACGGTTTTCTGCGGAAACACTCGTTGCTCTGGGTACTTTAAGTACATAATCTGCCTATCCCTTGAAACAAAAGCTCGTCTCGCGATTGGCCCGTCGAAAACTTTTGTTGCCGGCTAAATAATAGAACCTGGAGTCGTTCAAGAGAGCGATTCTGTTGCTCTTGGAATTCGATTGCATTGTTGTCAGTTCTTGGTACCTTTTGTTCACCGACAGTACAATTCTGGGAATCATGCCACTCACTCTGATCAAGGATATTGCGAATAAATTATTCATCATCATTAAGTACTTATTTTGCGGCATCATTAAGTACTTAGTTTCGTCAAGGTAACATCTGATTTCAATAAGCAGAATATCAGCCGGTTCAGTGCGACGGAATGATTTAGAAAAATTCTGAAATTTTTCATGCGTTGAAGGACTGATTAAATTTTAAATCATTACGATGGTCAAAACTAAAAAATTGTATTATAGGATTCCTGCGCAATTTTCGTAAAATTCATTGAGGCAACTAGCTATACTCGGACCTCGCCAATTTGGATCATTATGCAGCACGGCAGAGCTGGCTGTTTTCAGCAGCTGTTTGAATCTTGGGAATGCTCGTACCTCAATTATATATGAATCATACACAAATCAGCTTTATAGCCGTAAGAATATTCTGATAGGTTTACTGCACGCCGGATCTTCAACCGTGTAATTTCTATGTAACCTGTGTAACTGATAATATACAGTAAGACCCCCAGATGCGGACATAATTGGTGCATCAAGAGTGTCCCTATGTTGCATTGTCCCCAAGTCGAATCTTGTTTTCCCATAGACTTACATTGTATAATTTTGATGAGTAGGATTTTTTAAAGGAAGACTTTTTGAGTGTGTCCCATTTTGCTGCTTGTTCATCGCTTTTATTATAGGGTTTTAGATAAATTAATTGCTCGCTTCAGTGCAGTTCTGTAACAAATCCTAGTAAATTGAAAAGTTGGCATCTGGAAAAATAACATCCATGTCACAAAGAGAGCTACAAAGAAGTCCCTCTGTGCTATAGGGGATTTTTTAAATTAGCTGAATGGATTGGAAAATGATGGGAAAAGTACCAAAGGATTTTTCTAGCATAGATCTTAGGTTGGAAACATCTAGCTGTTTCTAGCAATTAAGCCTTATGAAAATTGATTTTCCTAAAATTTATTTTGGAATTTTATCCTGCAATGTCCCCAGGTTGAGTCAATGTCCTCATGTTGGGTCTTTTTTATGATTTTTTTGTTAAAAAATAAATATCCCCAAGTCGAATCGTCCCCATGTTGAGGCGTCCGCATGTGGGGGCTCATCTAATTATACATAAGTATATCTTGCAAAAAGCGCACTTGCTTGGAAGAAATGCAACATCATCTCGCAATGAAAACATGAAACGCATTTTGCCGGGAGAGGAAGTACAGTAGTATATTTCACACATATATATACAATAGTATGTGCAACGACGCAAAATCAGGACAAATTAACAGAAGAATGTACAGAAATAAGATTTCCTCTAGCTGAACGGAATGGCATTCTCCGAAATTACGGTTTGATGTGATGTCGGGATTCACTTTCAGCTTCCACGTGCAGTTTGCTTACGCTCTTCGATTGCATGAGCTGTCCAAGATTTTGCTACACCTTTTTTAGCCACGCAGTGCAATATAGTGTACTTGGCCGAAACTTCTCCGTTGGATAAGTGGTCACCGCCGACTTCATCTTTTCAAAAACGCTGCTGACTACCGTATTTTCTCATTCACGTTTTCCGGAACGAACCCTTGGAAAGGGTTCATCGCGCGTGGGAAACCTAAAAAAGGAAAAGAATAAAATGAAATGATTGCGTTGTCCCTTTTGTTTTTGTCGTAGAAATTTTCAATGTCACGAACTTTTCCGCATTCATCTCATAAGAATTTTCTTGAGATACTCACGGTCCAGCGAATTGATCGTCGGGAAAAGCAGTAGCCGCAGCAGGGATTGAACGACTTCGGGTTTGAAGCCTGCTTCTTTCAGGTCGTTCGTGAATATTTTTACAGAATCGGATTTTCCCACGAAAAGCCCCATTGCAACCGGTGGATTCTAGAAATGGAAAGAACAACTCTCAAGAGACTCCTGGATGTATTTGAATACAAATTTATATTTAAAACAAAAATGTGAATTCTATTCATGCTTTAATTACATTCAATTCATTCCGAATCGGAAAATCAAAAGAGTAAACGATTCTTTCATCAAACATCAGTCGACTCTCTCACTCTCATAAAACCCTCGAGAAGAACCACTGCTTAAGCGAGGATTTTAACTATCGTTCCCTGTTACTGACGATTTTTGAAATATTCAAGAATTGCATGTTCTACATTTCATTTTTAATATTGTATCCGGCAGAAGCATTCATGAACTCGAGCAGCAAATCGAAGATATCGCCAAATAAGAGTAAAATACTGTATGTACCCTGCTTCTCCAAGCCATTTTTTGCCAACCAATTTTTTATCGAAAATTGCAACTTGAATAATATTTTCCAGGGATGGTATTCCTCCTGATTTTTGCGTGGGTTGGTCTTATTTTGAGCCAACGTCGCGAAAATCTGACTTACTGCGCTTGATAAATAATAACTTCGAATGTTTTTCACGCACCTTCACAACGGGTCCAATAACAGGATCTGAGCGCAATGACTCGAAGATATCGAACTGTGGAGCGTTTTCAAACAAGGAACAGAAAAGCACCCCACCTTCTCGCAACAAAGGCTGCAATTGTCCCAGAACGGTCCTGAATCGGAAGTTCGTGACGGAAACAAAATACTGCTATATACGTTCGTGTATTCCGCAAGTCTCATACAGTTCACTTACTTGTATTCTCTGATCCATTGCAAGCTGAGGAAAGAGACGATGTGAGAGAAGCCCGAAGGGTACATTTCTTTGAGATCCCCGAGTCTGTCCGGCGCGAGATGAATGAAGCCAACGTTTGGCCCACCGAAGTTTTTACGGGCGTAATCAACCATGGTCGGATTCATCTCCACCCCAATCATTTCAGCTTCCCTGATTGAAAATGTTAGTAATTTGATAATATTCTACTGGATATGAGAGAATCTTGAACTGTTTTAATGATCCAGGAAAGACGAACTTCGGATGACACACGTACTGTATACAGAAATGTGATAAAATGAAACTAGTACACTATACCAGTCGACTTTCTTGCTCTAGTATTTTGTATTTCCAGCGTGATATTTTCCTTTGGTAGCCTTACAGATTTTAACATAAATTTCAATCCTAGTAATCTTTTGGAAGTGTATAGAGATCGTTCAATAAATCCGAATTTACAGGCGACTGCAACGAGTTTTCCAAAAACATTTTAAACGAAGAAAACCGTTCGCTGTTCTAGATCAAGATAAAGTTAAAAAAAATATTAGCCTAGTTTGGTGAATTTAAAAATGGATTTTTAGAATTAAATGAACACTCTGAGATGTTCACAAACCAATTTTTAGCGATCTGAAGCACACACTTCGGCATTTTTAATTTGTTTGTTATAGAGATAGCAACGTCGTCGAATGACATTCTCTCTCAGAGGATTTGGCTTTCTTTTCTGCTGCTTATATATTCTCTAGTAGAACGTGTAATCGGGCAATTCGATTTTTACTAGCTATCACGAATATAATTCTAGAACGAAGAAACGATAGTCTAGGACATTTTTCGTGATAAGTCAAATAATAATAGAAAAATTTGAGATATTGACTCACGATGGAAGCAGAGGTGCGATGAAAGACTTGGCGTAGTTACCGACTCGGGAATTGAGGAACAAAACTCGGTCATGAGGACGGATTTTAAAATGTAAGCCGAATTCGTCCATAACGACAGCAACGTCACCCATGACCTTGCTGCTCGCTGACAGGAACAAATTGGGGTCAATAAGGGCACTCGCGGATGCTGCTGCTGCAGGGGCCATTTTAATCTCTAATTTTTCTTTTCTTCACGAAGTCTCCTCGGAGGACTGATTCGGAAAACTGAAAGGTTCACAGTAATACATAGTCCCCTTCTTTGCAAACTCAGTCCAAGACAAGTCGACCGCGGTTTTCTATGTTCTGTGTGAAGCTGGCAGATACGGTTTTCTGCGGAAATACTCATTGCTGTGGGTAATTTAAGTACATAATCTTCCTACCCCTTAAAACAAAAGCTTGTTTCGCGATTGGCCCGTCGAAAACTTTTGTTGCCGGCTAAATAATAGAACCTGGAGTCGTTCAAGAGAGCGATTCTGTTGCTCTTGGACTTCGATTGCATTGTTGTCAGTTCTTGGTACCTTTTGTTCACCGACAGTACAATTCTGGGAATCATGCCACTCACGCAGATCAAGGATATTGCGAATAACTTATTCATCATCATTAAGTACTTATTTTGCGGCATCATTAAGTACTTATAGTTTTGTCAAGGTAACATCTGATTTCGAAAAGCAGAATATCAGCCAGATTTAGAAAAAAAATCTCAAATTTTCCATGTCCTGATGTTTCAAAAAGGCCTGATTAAATTTTAAATCATTACGATGGTCAAAACTAAAAAATCGTATTGCAGGATTCCTGCGCAATTTTTGTAAAATTCATTGAGGCAACTTGCTCTACTCGGACCTCACCAATTTGGATCATTATGCAGCACGGCAGAGCTGCCTGTTTTCAGCAGCTGTTTGAACCGCTGTAAGTCAGCAAATTTAAAAAGTTGCAATTCAGAATTTAAAAAAAATTAACAAGGTTTTAGGCTGCATGAAAATTTAATGAACACTTCGTTATTTTCGTGCGTGAAGTCAGCATAAAAATGTTTCAAGCACGGCCCACATTTTTTTTTTTTTTAAGGTTGGCGTATATGCAGGTGAAAATACGAATACTATAAGAGGACTGCATTCATATTGACGCTTTATTTAAGTAAAAAAAAAAACCTATTCAATTTTTCTAAAACCTCAAAATTGCTCGAGGAATGTTTTTTAATTCTTCCCCACCCCCCCACCCCCAAAAAAAGAAACCGAATTACAGTATTATGCCGTAAAAGCAGTCTATATGTCCTGATTTTTCAAAAAGTAGAGCGTTCAAAAAAGGTCTAAAAATAAATTTGATAAACGCAAAGGGCAAAAAGATGACACTGACATGAATTGTATCCAAAATCAGCGTGGTCTCATGCGGATCAGCTTTGAATGCTATTTTCTCGAACATTGACAATAAGACAGTGATAGAACATAAAAAACGAAATTTTTCTTTCATTAAAACATTTCAATATAAAAAAGTGATGCGAGAAAAAACAGTAGGGCTGCGAAATGCTTCGAAAAAGGGTCCGCAGAGAAATACTGTATTTCCACGAAAAAAAAAGCAGCGGGCAATAACATTTCTACAATTTCTGAAGCTAGGATAAAAAAAAAATGTATAATCATGAGAAGCTTCATTTGGTTCAAATGTCCCATGAAGTATAGACCTAAATACTGCAATGCCATGATTCATTCGCTGCCGAATCACACAAAAATCTGCGCATTCTCAAATGTTCTTCACATGAAATTCTGACGTTTGTCGCGGGAAATGTAAGAAGCAAAAATTATGAGGGATCATCCCGATAACGGGAATATATTGAAATAAAAATTCTTGTCTATGACGTGGAAAATTTAATTGTCCTCAAAGATGATCAAACTACAGTAAGTACATCATAATTTATAAAAAATAAAAGTACATCCATTTGCTTTGCAATATTCTTTGTATTATTCAGATACATATGAATAAAACAATCAGCGAAAAAAACATCGAAAATTCCCGAAACAAAGGAAATCTGTCACCGAGATGTCAATATGTATCATGGTCCTCAGCGAAGCGAGATGTTACCTGCAGCATTGGAAGTTTAAATGGAGCACTAGCCAATGTTATCAATCAAATCACGGAAACTCCGGTATGTAATCACACATAAAAGCTGAAAATGTGTCAAGAGCTTTTTACACCACATTTCATAGCTCGGAAGATGTTTTCTTCCATCAAGTGCGTAAAGTACTGCATGCAGCAGTCATGAAGTGTGCATTAACAATTACAGAATATCATCCTTCTGTTCGAGCTTTGACTTCACAGGAGCAGGAATGAAAATCCAATTCGATTCTTCACTTCATCCTCCTGTATGGGCGCAGAACGTCCAGCACATCCGCGATGTCTCCGCTCTTCGCTTCGAGCAAATTGGAAAGCCATCCTCCTTCATTCGTGAAGCCCATGTCCAACATAGTCTGCAAAGCTTTGTTGACTTTCGGATCTGCAATTGATATTGATTCGTCACCATTAATATTATACCACAGGAAATATTGTTTGCGATTGCTGCTGCAACCTATCGAAATGTCCACAACAAATCCATTGTATGTCTCTTTGCGTCGAACACCACACTAAATTTTTAGTAATTTTTTCAATGTACACTGCGAGCTAATCTTCGGAAACCAGTACTTACATGGAAAACATTTGTAGATCACCAGTTAGCGGTACACCAAGCATCAATGCATAGGGAGATCTGAATAAATTCAATAACCCTCGAAACATGTAAAAAATATGCGCCGGTAAATCTTCCGTATGTTTCCTAGAATCTTCGCAAAATTGTAGAGTTTTCTTAAGCCGTAGTGAGTCATCATAGAAAAAATGCAACTCAATATCACAAACACTGTCGGCCATTCGTATGAACTATAGCAGAATCTTCAACGAATCTCATTATAACGAATCAATGCTTACAACGAATATTTTTTGTCCCTGTCCAATATGCCAAATTCAATTTTAACTTCGCTGGAACGAACTTCTATTAAAAAAGAAGTTTTTATAATCCCCCAAGTGCTTCTTTGTCACGAGATTCTCGCGCCACAAGAAAACCATATCTCATTCATGAATAAAATTGTTCAGATACCCGTTTTAAATTAGATGTCATGTTAAGTTTGATTTACAAACCCATATTGTTGTCTTCGGAAATTTTATATTTTTATATGGACTTGAGTTTTAGTATTCTCGGGGGCAAAAGCTTAACTGTAAAAAATATAAAATTTCCGAAGACAATAATATGGGTTTTTAAATCAAACTTAACATGACATCTAATTTAAAACGGGTATCTGAACAATTTTATTGTTTCTTGGATCTTTCTTCTTTTTTACGCATTTTTGATTCAAGCACTTTGATGCCTCTTTTCTCACGCTCCGTTGTGGTATTCACGTCGATGGGAAAATTTTCAGATTGATCGATACTTAGAAGCTCGTCACACATAAATGATGTTATGATGCCACTGTGTAACGAATAAATGCATATGTAACTCCAAGTCTCAAAAACTAAGATGATCTTCCTGAAAGATTATCTTCCTCTGTAAGTTGAGTCGTTGAGGGACAGAACTACAGGAGAGAAAGCGGGACATTTAAATAATATGAACGATTATTTTTTGCTCAAATTCAATGAACAAGTCCCGTAAATTTAAAACCTGAAAAAGGTGAAAACAAAATGGAAAAGTATCAGAAGAATTATTCTTACCCGGATGAGTCGTCACCGAATTTTCCACAGCTTTCTTCTCCTCGGCCACGTCAGGATAAAGGTTACCGGATTCCTTGACGATCTCCACATAGCGGACTTTCGGACGAGCCCCGTTTTCCTTTGCGGTGTCATCCTGTTTCTCCGGGGTCGGTTCTTTGTCCACCATAGTCCACTCAGCAGCAACTGCCCCCGGGGATTGTTCAGCTGACCTTTCTCCATTTCCAGACTTTTCAGGAACGCCGTCGTCAATATCGACATCAACCACGACGCCACTAGTTTTTGAATCTGGGGCTTCGGGATTTCCTTCAGCAGGAGCAGCATCGGTCGTCTTCGCATTCGGCATCGGGTCTTGCTGAGGGTTTTCCGATTCACCACCGGCACCCTTTTCGCATCTGCGAGTTCTCCTGAAACCAGATGAATTTCCGCGGCGACAATGTCCTCTTCCTCCGTGTCGTCTTCCGCCGCCTCCAAGGAAATCTCCCAGCATTCCCATAACGTCCTCCATTGACGCGTTTTCATTCGGGTTCAGGTTGAACGTCTTCATCAATTCGCAAAGGTTGTTCAACAACGGGGCGTCCTCTTGTTGACCGGCACGAGCCTGGGACTCGCTTTCAGGTCTCTGAAACAATTATGATCAAACAATCATTAACTTGATCGAATCACAGCCGCAAAAAAACTGAAACGTCTGCTTAAAATAATTTATACGAAGAAGAATCTGGCTTGAATTCCTATAAGAAACCTCTTTCAAAAATTGAAACTTATTACAGAAAGTACCGTATCTGATGAATTCGAATCTACTTGATTCACGCAAGGATCTTTGATTTTAAAAAACTGGGACTACGTGATAAAATATTGCACAGTTTCACTTACAACCTGTGAGCTACAGTGAGCTCATTTTACAATAATACTTTAAGCAACAATATTCGCTCAAATTCAGCAATCTACTTACGTGGAATTTTTTTTTTCAGAAAAGATCAGCAAACGATATACGGTACTGCTAAAAACATTTAAAATTATTTGAAAGAAATGTTTTTGCATTTCATTTTCAGATTTAAAAGTGGACTGCGGTGCCCAAAACCTCAGAGGCTACGAGGCATCAAGAATAACTGATACGGTAAGGTTTTGAAAATGGAGTTACTGCATTTAATTCACGTATAGTTTAGGAAAGAATATAAAATCTTTCTAGAATTTACCTGTTGCGAATGCGCTCCATCCTGAGGATAATCACCTTCAGTAGGTGCGTGTCTCCCCGCTCTTTCACCACTTGCAGCACCAGCTCCGTTGGCAGCCGCAGCAAGGCCACACCTGATAGCAACGATGGTTTCCATGATCTTGTTCAAGTTAAATCCAGCTGACAACATGGAGGGGATCATTTCTTGCACAGACTCCTGCCAACACGTCCCGCGGCCAGCGACAGGGTTCATGATGTTCCTCCAAGCGCGACGCCAATGTTCACCAGCGTCAACGGCTTGATTGGCCTGATCCTCGCCTGCAGGAGCATCAGAAGTGTTCGCACGACGGCAATGGAATCGTCTGGAACCCAGGCCGTGATGCGACACTCTGGAATGACTGCGGCTGCGACTTCTGGGATGCTTATGCCCCCTTCCGCGATGACCGTGATGATGGTGATGCTTCCCGAACTTGTATTTCTTGCGACAGAACTCAGTCGCATCTTCCTCAGCATTCTATGAAGCAAAAAACACATGAAATATAATCATAATTCATTCCTGCCAAAACAAATGAACGAAACATCAAAAATTTTGGGTAAGGGAAAAGGAAATCAATCAACTAATTATTTAGACGCCACATCTGATCAGGACGCTAACATTCTCCTCGAACAATTTAACCAAAGCAAAGCAAGATAAATTTCGATTTCCAAACTTAATATGCAAATAATTTGGACGTTAATCACGATTTTCCATTCGCCCAGATTTGTAATTCAATACAGTAATACCAATCAAATCTGTACTGTATACAGCATACACGGGATATACTCATTAATTATTGAATATATCCAGAGTTGCATGAATGAGTCGATTGGCGCAATAAGGCAACTCGAATTACTGTGCTAAAATCTGATCATATACAAATTCAAACAGACTGACACCCCTTAGAGATCCCGTGAAACAGGAATTCTGAAAAAAGAACGATGCATTTAAAATTCATTTTCCATCATAATACTGTACAGTGAAGTAAAATATTTAGAATGAAAAAGGTGAATGTCATTCGTTTTTGACACGTCCGAAGCCATATTAATTTTGGAAGTCCTCCATGGCAACCCGCCCATCTTCAAAACGACGGATTCTTGCAATGAAAATTTTACGGAAATTCAAATACCTTACTTACTTTGTCGGCTCGATATAAAAATACTCAATCTTCTCATCTCCGCTGTATTTTTAAAATATTTGGAGTAGTATGAGCACAATATAGATCTCCAAGAGGATTATGTATTAGGAAAGCAGGAATTTTAGAAGTCTCAATTTTGAAGCTATGAGGTAATGAGGATTGAACGAATAAGTCTCGTACGTGGATGATACAGAATAGAGACTGGAGGTAGTAAACATCCTGGTATAATGATTAACTACAGACTAAACCAATAACAGCATTTTACTTCGAACGAAATCGACTGCATACGGGCTTTGCTGATTAAAGCAGATTTTCGTTCATTGATCATGAACTATCAAGGATGGTCGGATGGACACCAAAATAATGCCGTTAAGTAACTCACCTCCTCAGCTTCTTGTTTCTTCAGTCCACAAGCAGTCAAAATTGGATCCAGGATATTTTCAGGCATGACGAACACGCCAGCTGCAAAATAATCAGTGTAACGGTCATTAAAAAAACGGAAACAGTTGAATGTAATACAGTATTATACGTTATATTTTTATTGAATAATAACTGACCAGCGGCATCTGGAGTCACGTCGTTAGTGCCTTCAGCAGGACTGACATCCAATTTAAAAGGCAGTGGAATGCCAGAGTCGGACAAGTTCTTGGTTCGAGTGTACTCCAACAGCGCTTCCATGAGCTCTGCATCGCTCGAAATAACAACATCGTCACCTTCAAAATCTGGGGATAAGAATTCGTTCAAATCAGTAATCTCTCAAAGAAGTATCATATACATGGACAAGATTAAATTAAATAAAAAAATCTACGGTTCAGCTCGCAAATTATGACTATACCAACCTTTCCAGCTCACACGGAACGGCTTGGACCTCAGAGAAGGAAAGGTGGACCGGAGCTTCTCGAACAAATATTCCACATTGGTTGAAACATCCTCATCAACTGTGAATCGACGAACTTCCGATGATGTGCCATTGGTAAAATAGGCCTTCATGGGAACGCCACGATTTGCTTCAGATTTACTATCCATTGTGATTGTCTGCAAGATTGAAAAGACAAAAAAAAATGAATACTGAATGCAGGGACACACTCCAGAACGACGTGACTGTTCGTTTACCGCGTGAAGTTATCAAAACACAAAACATTACCAATCGCTCATCGAATAAGGCGTTCAATGAAAAAACAGTTCATTAGCAAAACTGCTGCGTATCATGGATGTCTCGATAAAAAAAAAACTGTGTCGCAGTAAACAGTCAGAATCCGTTTCAATCGAGTGTATTTTTGAAAATTTTGAAAAATCTGGAATGTATTGCTGTAAACGGAAGCCTGCTTTTTTGAAGACGAACCAAATTCGCCAATATCAGTAATTGAATTGTAGATGGAATATGTGTTCTTCAGGATTATATTATCTGATCTGCACTGAAAATATTTTCAATTTTCTTCATTTGGTAAAACATAAACTTCCTCACCTCTGAATAGTTACGCATCAGTTCCGTCATTTTCCAAAAGTGAAACCAAAATATTGATCACATACAATTCTATATTATGCATGCATAATGTGAAATAATATTATGCCATGCAGACATGTAGCTCAAGCCAGAATATAAAAATAACTCATCTGCATTCACCAGCAGAGAGATCTAACCACTGATTTTTAATTAAATGCTCATTGCCAGACACAGGAACTGAGAAGAAAGAAACATTCTGAAATATATCCTTGAAGACATTCTTGAAAACAATTGAGTTCTATAAAAAAAAATTCCGTCCATTTATCGAAAAAAAAAAAAATTCGGAAGTCAGCAGTGTGTAACCACGTTCGTCACGGAAGCATTATTTTCAAGATATGGCCATTTGCCAATCTTCCTAAAATTATCTTATGCAAGAGAAATTTTAAAGAATATGTGACAAAGCGAGTTTATCTGCTTATATTTACGACGTCTGTCAACTAGGATATATACGCCATCTAATCTTCTAAAAAATAATAAAAAGGCTTACTTGGTTTCGCGAACTCTGCACGGTAGATGAATTCTGGACACTGCGTACCTCTTTCAACGAAGACACGACTGATTCGAAAAGTTTTCACTTCCTTGACGCGGTCTCGTGTATGATAGGTTTGATCTTTTCTTTTCAATCTCTGGTCTATGCAATGAAATGTCACCAATTAAAGCCTCGACGGGGGTCACAACAACTTCAAAGGCAGGAGCCAAAGTGGTACTCCAACCAAACTCGCGGCAGCATAAATACTTGACCAGCACAGGTCTGGATCCCGCCAGAAATATCTAGAACGCGACACGCTGGAGGGCTCTGACTGGCATAGGAACACAATGGCATTCAAAAAGGTTTAGGCAATGCGAGTCACGGCTTGCATCAGCCCTGGTGGACTCGCTCTCAAGTTCGTTGTTGTCGTTTCTTGCCCCTTGTGCGACAGTGACTCAGTTGGTCAGAGCACGAACCGTACTCAGTTGGAAGTGTCGCGCACCTCGATGTCGGGGTAGACTAGGTCGCAGCCGACGGTGAACGGCCTCGCGGGCGGCGTAGTTTCGGACGGACAAAGCAGGACAGAATGGGAGATAGTGCAGGAGTTGAGACAGAGACTCCGAGAGGCTGATGCGTAGTTCGACCAACATACCAAGGGTTTCCAAACTACGGCTGACAAAACGCAAATGCATCGCTATCTACAGTATAGAGAGAAATGTGATCGACCAGAAATTATTCAATCTCATCCACTGCCCTGGTTAATTAACAATTCTCTCAAAATGTCTCCGCAAGACTACTTCTATATTCAATAATCCAACACAAAGTCATGGACATCCTGCATGAAGGCATCCTTATTGATGGCGTTCAATTAATTATTGCTTTATTAAATTAATTATTATTGATCCGAAGAATTCCACAGCTCGAAATTGATTTAATTATTATATAATGCCTTGATCAGTTCCCTTTATTTCATGGATCTGATGATAAATTCTCCAACTAATCCCCATCACAGTGTCTATACTTGGTCCACGAGAAGTCGCTAAAAGGTTTCAAAGAGACCTAACACGTTTGTTGGACCTGTAAAAATTCGCATCTTAAAATGTATTAAGCTTCCTACCATAAATTTTATTAAAGTAAACAGAAAATTAAAATGTGGTTCAGAATAAAGCAGCATGTACATTCGTGCTGCCAGCACTTGATCGATAAGCTAATGTACTGTACTACAGTATTTCCAATCGATTCACTGTATAGTATTTATAAATTCATGAAATGTACGCGGACCGATTTTAAACACTACCTAATGGCTCACATTTTCACAATCGATAAAATTTTGAAAATTTGTCAGAAAGAATAAATTCGAAGCGCTACAGCTGTTTTACCCACAATATTTCTTCGTTATTATTGTCTTTCTATATAATTACCGATAAAAAACGTCCTTTGCAGAGAATTTTCTTGGCGAGGAGACTCTTGAACATTCATGAAAGTCCAAATGTACATTATTCACAAAAATTATTCGAGAATTTATTGCGAAGAGAATCCATCGTCTGTATTCAAGTGTAGAATAATTTTTCCGAATAAGCTGCTAAAAATAAGTGAACGAAGACAGAACTTCAGTTGCGCCAATTATTTGTTTAAATTGATAGCAGTCCTACTTTATACAGAATACTTTCGTACCACTTTCTTATTGGGGGATGGTGCGATGTGCAAGTACTGTAATATGTAACTGGCGTCCGCCTAGAAAGTTCTTTACTCGACGCGAAAGGAGCTTTCGAAACCCCATTTCCGCGGCTGGAAAGTAGATTCCTCTCTCCCCGTACAAGTACTCGTCAAGAAGGAAGCACCTCAAAAGTACTTTGATTTAATTTTTTTAATTATGTTGAAAAACATTTTCGAAGCGCTTCCATACTTCTGTCAGTATTTTGAAGCTTTTTAAGCCTATTAAACTAAGGAAGTAAGTACAATAAAATATTTACAATCGTCGTAGTATCTTTCTACAACGAATTCTTGCTTACGATTTAATTCGTTTTATAAGTCCTTATTTCTATTTTCCCCAAAAGACGCAATCTGTATTTCACATTTGCTGTTTCTTACGAATTTATTTAACAAAGCTGCAGGTCGCAATAGCTTCGCTGTGACGAGATTTTACTGTATTGAAGTTGCTTGAATCTCTTTTACATTCACCGATAAACTGCTGTATACATCAATAACATCATGTAAACAATTTTGGACTCTCTGAGCGATAGAAAGCGATATAACCGTTTTCAATGAAAGATACTTAATAGCAACATTTAATCAAATATACAAATCTTTTAAATCGAGTTAATCGTACGATAATGATACGTGATAACAGCTGCAGTGAGAAAGAATATACTTTATAATGGAACTCAGTAAATTATAAATTATTGTATGGGTTTATTCAATTGGAAAACATTCCGGAGTGCAGTACTGTACTTCGTGGGTATTGGTTTAAAAATTTTTGAAAAAATGTGATTACAGTTGTGATTCAAAGTTTCAACGCATCTTAATTTGACGTATATCTCGTTTTACCCGACTCCGCCGTACGAACAGGTTTGGAACAGACGTATCAACTCTTCCAGGAAAGAAATGTAAGACCTGCTGAGGTAACTGCGCAGTTCGCTGCCCTTCTTTCCAACCTGGCGCTCTGTATACAACTAGCTGTCTGGATATGTTGCCTGTGGATGTCCGCTGGAAGAGTTGCCCCATTTGGTTTCTGGTAGGTGCACAGAAAGTAGGTACTGAGATAACAGGAAAGTACCCAACATTTTCTATGCATCGTCGGGTCGGAATACTTTATTACCTTTTACTTTTTCAGTTGTCTCTTTTGTTTCTGGCTCTATCATCAATTGACTTACACCTGTCGGTCCGCGTAATTTATCTTCACTTGAAGATTTGCTTGCGCATTGAAGGGAGACAGATGGGTGTTATACTCAATCAAACAAGGACATTATTCTTAATGCACCGGATCCTGGGATCAAGTTCTTCGCATACGTTCGTGAAGAGTATACAGTGACATCTAGCTTTTATGCAAAATATTAAGACGGGAAAGTTCAGTCTTCATACTGCAACAACGTGCGTCTACAGGTCTACTCACCTTCCGCGTTAGGCGATACTCGACCAACTGGAGTTGCGAAATTCCACTTCAGGAATAAGTTCCGATAACATTTCATTTGGACTGTGTTTCTTTCGCTTGTTTCAGAGCTATATCATTTCATTGAATGAGTGCGGAAAACTTAATCTGTAATGTACGGAAATATCTCATTCGACCCTTTCAATCATGTACACTTTAATTTGAATATTGCAACCACTGATCTTATTGCAACCACTTGGAATAAGCATAACAGCTAAACAAATTTAATACGACCCTTTCAAATCATGTACACTTTAATTACTTATAACGTTGGTGACTAGAATAACGTTGGTGAACCTTATTCGTATTGTCTATTTTTTTTAATTTATGACACCTCATCATTGTGATGCCCACTCTACCTCATCATTGTGTGCGTAATAAATATAACATCAACAGTAAGTTCATTTTTCTAAAACCAGAACCAGCACAGCAAGGAATATGTCAAAAAATCAATGTATCGCCATAAAAAATTGAGACTATTAAATACACCCACATTAAAGATTCCACTTCTGTGCATCGCGTTAATAAGCAGGTTGGTCCACCGTCCAGCATTTAACATGCAGTTTTACTTCGTGATCTGGATTACTGTGCAGCAAAGGATCCCAGATGCATCTTGCTGCTCGCATATCATCGTCATTTGCGATTATAACTTCATCTCCTTCATCATCTGTAATAAATAGAACAGGGGCGGACATAAGATATACAGTAAGGCAAATATTGTACTTCGCAGCTCCAGGGTTTTTCCGCTGTGGGGAAATTTTCTCAGAATACTCCAACGAACCTTAGTCATGAAAATCGAAGAACCTATTGAGAAACCCAACATGCGAGTCATCTTAATAATATATACTGTACGGTACTGCAGTCTATACACATATCCAAAATACTGTATCTACACTAGTAATTAACACTTGTTTATGGTTTGAATTTTTGGTGATGAAAACCAAATAAAATATCAAATCTTTTTCAGACAGTACCAAAGTTTGCCTTCCCAAATTCACGGCCTGAAATTATTCTATGCTATTCTTTATCAAAAGTGCATTCATTTAGATAATTTTGCCTTTATCTTATCATTCATATGTGCACAGTGCACACAGTATTATTCCAGTTGCAATCAATAATGTAAAAAGGATATGCTTACCTATCCAAAACACGCGAAAACACACGAATCGGGAGAGAGCAGCAGAAAATCTTTGTCGGATCAGCTCACGCAACGCGTCTCCACTTCTGTGCAGCATGTCGAAATTATACAGAATTCGGCGGATGACAAGCGGCGTCTCAGAGTCGTTTCCGAAAAGGTACACTTTCATGCGGTACATGGCAGAAAACCGGTGATTTCCGTGTTGAGCCAATCAGCACAGTCAAAAAACACACCGATCGCGGTTTGCTGGTTACCTCTGACGCTTTGTTGAAGCACTGACTAAACTTCCCCAAAGAACTTGAGTTAAGGTCGATGGGCGGCGGGATGCAATTGGTTTCACTTCCAGAGATTTACTTTCGACGACCTTGAAGGGTGCTTATGTTTTGTCCTCGTGTTAAAAAAAATTTAACTAACGCTCGTTGATCTTGTATTCATGAAGACTCATCTTCCAGGATATAGGACCCGTTAGGACGAAAATAAGAATAACCACTGCGGAAAGTACATTACAGAAAGTGATGCTCGACACTCAAACTGCAGGTATTGCCGCGTTTACAGCAGCAACAATAGAAAAATGTATTTGCATTGATTAATGGGCTATATACAGTAAACACACAAGCGTCAAAAGATGCTCCTAAAACCCAATTTCAAGCGATGCGTGTTACATCATAGTCAAAGTTATTCGATCGAAACACCAGACACAATATTCGAAGAATGTCTTGCTATAAAAATGTTTAAATATTCACCATTAAATTTTTTCTGTAGGAATTTACCGCCGTTTCCCTTTGAAAACATTTTGCAATTTTCTTTCATCAAATTATATAAACTACAAAGGAGCTGTTGAAAATATTTTGTTCTCAAACCACTTCGTCATATTTTTAACGTGATTTTTATAGTCTGTAATTGGGTCAAACTATTGACAACGTCTAATAAAAGTTACAAAAAAAGAACGTTAGTAGCCCTTTTGAACCTGTCATAAACAAAACTATAAAAGTAATTTAATAGAGATTAAAGGAATATCCGATTTCATAAATAGGACACCATTTTCGATGATAATTTGATATTTTTTAGGCCTCCTGAAAATTTTTTGCGATGAGATTTTACAAGGATCAATGAGCACTGGGAATGTTGGACGTCCTTTTACTATCATCAAGTACGGGGTTCCAGCAGCGATGGCTTTTGATGTTTCGTGTGACTATATTATTGTGTGTGTGCCAAGACTGCCGACGTTTCTGTATACAGACATACAGTATTCCCTTTTCAAGCTGGAAGTTACAATATTTGATTTCTTTAGGTGTGTTCAATTAGGACGGCTATGAATTTGGTGGCAAAAGTCGTCAATAAAACATGATGAAAATAAAAAAGTCCTCCGTAATGCAATAACCCCAATCAATACATTTTGCTGTACAAATAAAAAGGATGCGACTGCAAGTGACAACGAATAAGTTTAATGTGACTATATCACCATGATCACGTGACAACAACAGGAATGCGTCAAGCAGCGTGATATTAATAGGGAAAAAAACGCCTCTCCTTTCCTGAGGCAGTGTTTTTGTCGCCATGCTCGATGCTATGCCACTATCACTTACTATTTTTATACATGAATGTTATATGTCTTGTTGTAGCGTTTAAGTTGTGTAAGCAACGTAGTTACCGAAAACTAGGGGGAAAGTGTGACTACATGGAACCATATACACATCCAAAGGGCTGCGGAAGGGTGTCAAACTTTGCCTACGTCACTTTTTTAAAGCTCGATACACGCTTGCATTACTTATCTACATACATGATCGTAACTATTTTCAGTCTGTAACTGCCATCCTTCGCGTCGTGCATAGCTTCTTTTTTAATAAGGAGCGAAGTCCATTCTGATTTTCAAGGAAGTCTTCTGTATGGTCGCAGAGCTTCCAGCACATCCCCAATGTCTCCGTTCTTTGTTTCTAGTATATTAGAAAGCCATCCTCCTTCATTCGTAAATCCCATGTCCAGCATAGTCTGTAATGCTTTGTTCACTCTTGGATCTGCAATCAAAGATTCAGTAATACAGAAATTAAATCAATCCTTTGAAACAATGCTGGCGTTTGCTCCGAAATTTCGTGTGACGTTCGGTAAAGCGCTGAGAATGATGATCACGTCGTAACTCTCGTGAGGCACAAATCCATGAATTGATTCAGAAGCATAATGATTACCTGCGTGACGCATCGTCGCGGGATTTTCGACAGTTTTCTTCCCGCCAGCCACGTTTGGATAAAGGTCAGTAGGTCCCTTAACGATCTCCACATTTCGAACTTTCGGACGAGCACCTGTTTCCTTTGCGGTGTCATCCTGTTTTTCCGGGGTCGGTTCTTTGTCCACCATAGTCCACTCAGCAGCAACTGCCCCCGGAGATTGTTCAGCTGACTTTTCTCCAGACGCATTTCCAGAATTGTTAGGAACGCCGTCGTCAATATCGACATCAACCACAACGCCACTAGTTTTTGGATACGGAGCTTCGTGATTTCCTTCAGAAGAAGCAGCATCGGTTGTCTTCGCATGTTGCGTCGGTACCTGCGGGTTTTCCGATCCTCCACTGGCACCCTTATTTCCGCATCTACGAGTTCTCATGAAAGCAGGATTTCCTCCATGACAATGGCCTCGAGATCCGTGCTCTCTTTCAACGTTTCCAATGAAATCTCCAAATAGTCCCATAACGTCCTTCATTGAAGCGTTTTCATTTGGATTGAGGTTGAACATCTTCATGAAGTCGAACAGGTTGTTGAACAGCGGAACATCGCCTTGTTGACTGGAGTGGGAGCGTGGCTCATTTTCGGATCTCTGTGAAAATGAAATACAGTGCAGAAATACTTACGACTCTATGTACCCCAAATATCGCAGACAAATAATAAATCGTAATATTCCTAAAACGGTTATCGATCCTATGCTGAATTTTTTTTTTCGTTAGGCACTGATAGACAGGAAACGGATGATCAACTGGTGAGCGGGTTTTTCGATTTCTCGAAAGGTCATGGTAAAAATATTTATTGTGTGAAAAATCGAAGAAACTTTCAAGCAATCCTTTTAAGATGCTTCGATCCTCCAAAAAGTGTTTTAATTTAATAGTAAAGTTTTCCATAAATAATTATTAAAGAATCGGTCTTTGAATGATCGTTGAGCTTCAAGTGCGTCTTAATCAAGATATTCCAGGGCAATATTCCTAGAATTTACCTGTTCTTTCTTCTGAGGATCACTAGCACTTGAAGATGCACCTTCACCCACATTTTTTTCGCCGCTCGCACCATCAGCTCCGTTGTTGCTGGCAGCTTCAGCAAGGCCACATCCGTTACCGTTAGCAGTAAGGGTTTCCATGAGCTGGTTCAAGTTGAATCCAGCAGACAACATGGTAGGAATCATTTCTTGCGTCGTCTCCTGCCAACAAGCTCCTTGTCGACCAGCGACAGAGTTCATGATGCTTCTCCAAGCACGATGCCAATGTTCAACGTCAGCATCAAACGCGTGGGCCTGATCTTCGCTATCATCAGACGCATCCGAAGTGCTCCCGCGATGATGGCAAGAATGCCGGTTCGAACAGCATGCGCCGTGACGCGAGTGACTGGGATGACTACCGCAACGATTGTGTCCCTTATTTCCGTGATGATGATGCTTTCCAACCCTAAATTGCTGTTTGCAACAGAATTCCTTCGCGTCTTCATTCGCATTCTGTGGAAATATATGCTTGAGATTGCATAGATGAAGTAACACAACAGGCCACAAACAAAGACGACATTGTACGATGCTAGATTCAAAATAGATCCCGAACCGTTAAATAAAAAATAATTGATGCGCTTTTAATTTGAGAAGTCCAATAACGTACAGTAAATAGGAAATTGAAGTTCAGCTATTAAAATTCGTGAACTTACTATACTAGCAAATACGCGGTACAATTTTTGAAAAAGGGAGTTCGAAATTCCTCCAGATTTTTCCTATCCGACTCAGTTCAGACCCGAAAAACGAATGTACTGTACAAAAGTGCTGTACATACAAATTTGAAAAGTCACACATAATTACGCGTGCACTAATTATGTGTACTTTGCCTCCCACGAAGTCCAGTTCATGAACAATTTGCCAAAGGAATAAGGGAACAACAAACATTATACTCACGCCCTTGTGTTCATCTTTCTTCAATCCAAATGCGGTCAGATAAATATTCAGGATGTTTTCAGGTATGACGAATAAGCCGGCTGCAAAATAATCGGCATGGTTAAGCATTTTTAGAAGTACAGCACACGGTATATCCCGTATTATAATACCTGCAGCATCTGAAGCCTCGAAGTTCCTGCGTTCAGCAGTTATAACGCATAATTTAAACGGCATTGCTGGAACGTACGAGTCGGAGAAGTTCCTGGTTTGAGCGTACTCCGACAGCGCTTCCATGAGCTCTCCATCGCTCGAAATCAGAACATCGTCGCCTTCAAAATCTGGGAATGGTACTTTTTTCAAATCAGAAATCTCTCAAAGAAGTACGATTTATGGAGAAGATTTGATCAAATAATAAAATCTACTGTTCGGCTCGCAAATTATGACTACGAACCTTTCCAGCTCACACGGAACGGCTTGAACCTCAGAGAAGGAAAGATGGACCGGAGCTTCTCAAATAAATATTCCACATTAGTTGAAACATCCTCATCAACTGTGAATCGACGAACTTCCGACGATGTCCCGTTGGTAAAATAGGCCTTCATGGGAACGCCACGATTTGCGTCAGGATTGAGACCCATATTGTAAATAATGTCTGCAAGGTACATACAAAATAAAATCCCCATAGCATATGACAACCGAATCCAGCACTGCGATGTTGAATCGCTGCGATGCTTCTTCTGTGCAGCCATTAAAAATAATGGCATTCGTTAAATGATGATTTACAATTTTTAATCCTCGCAAAATAGAAGAAAAATATGCAAAAATGATAAGACGGAAGTACGGTGCAGCAAAAGAACAAATGGGAGCACCCTGGCACAATTATAAAAGGAAAAAATCAAATCTCTTCAATTTCCTTTATATTATTCAACAAGAATCACGGGAAAATGTTCCTATACAGGGAATCATCTTCGCATAATTAATTTTTCCTAGATCGTGATTTATGGTTGAATTTCTCTAGAATCAAGTAGAATATTTTGATGTATTTATGCATATCCTGTATGCAGTACTGTATACTATTATTTTCCGGGAAATACAGTATTCACATTCACAAAGCACATACAAGTAATACATAAGTAAGTTAAAGACAGAGTTCCTTTAACTTTTCACGGTGCAAAACCAGCATAAAATACTGTACTCGAGAAACCAAAAGATACGCTCATGTGATAGAAAAATCAAAATAAATTTCGAAAACATGGGATCCAGTGAAACAGTTGGTCACATGAGTGCAAGTCATCTCCTTAAATCTCTTGCTTTGTCTTTGTGTTTCTCATCAGCAGATTGATTTTTCTATGAGGGGTTACCTCCTTTAACCCGCAGAGAGTCGACAAACATCCCTTACTTGATGATATCTCGACGTTTTTGACCTCCACTTGAGACTTCACAACGCGACTGATTTTTTCTCAATCACGACTCTGGAACGATTTCTCTTCCGCTTCAATGTGTTCACGAAGGTACGCTCTTTATTACCTCACTCGTATTATTACAATCCGACACTGATCAATACCCCTGCCTTATGCTAATCGCTGCGAATCCGACGAATACAGCTGAAGAAGTGATGATCAACCCCGGGTCGCGGCAGCATAAATACTCGACCAGAACCGATCTAGATTCCCCCAGAAATATCCAGAACGGGACACGCTGGAGGAAATGACTCCTCAGCACTGCGAACGGCTATCTCTGCAGCGGGGGCGACAGAACGAGTCAATACTCGCAACAGCCCTGCATCCATGAGGTCCACGTCGCGGGAACAACACAAGACGAACACGTTGTCGCTATGATTCATGTAGTCCCGCGGCATGACTCAGCTTGAATGGCGCGCGGTGATGGTCCGATATGTTCTCGCGTCTGCTTCGTCGTATCTTCAGTGTTTTCAACCGCGCGGTGGCACATGTTGCGCCGAGCACTGGTGGGTGGTGGCAGCTGAGACGATTTCTGGGTCCTTGTGAATACATCATTTCGATTTAAAAAGTAGGACAGACGATTGTGAACTTGTCTGTGCATCTTGATTACCGTATATTGTTTCCCAATAAAAGAACCAACTACTGAAGGAGAACTTCGGCGATCCATAAAAGACCGAGTGTTGGAAGGAGTGGTGCTGATATCCAAGTTTTTCCAAGTCTATGCGGCATTGCAACGCTTTTTATGTTAGTTGGAATTCATGGAAAGTGGAGAAACAATTGTCAAAGGTCTCATCTGTCAGTTTTGATGCTTTTTAAAGCATTTTCGCATGATTTTTTTATTCTTCAGCTTACAGTAATATGATAGAACGTGTCCAGTCAGCAGCCAGTCGGTCAATTCACGGTTGCGAACCTGCAGGTTGTCAAGCGCCGGTTGGTCCAACCGCCAGCCAGGGCAGTCCTTGGCCTCGCCAATCCCCAGTCCACCAAAGCGCGGTCTGGTCACCTGATTGTTGGGGTGCCGAAACAATTGGGTGACAAGAATCATGCTGATTCTTTCCAGAATTTGGTGAGCAGAATGGTATCCAACCACAGATTATTTTTTTTTTAAATTTCAGCAATGTTAGGTTAGGTTGGGTTTGATGAGTTTTTTCTTTTTGTGAAAATTTTTATAAGGTGAAATTTTGTAAAAAAAAAAATAATAATCTGTGGTAGGATAGCATTCTGTTCACCAAATTCTGGAAAAAATCAGCATGATTCTTGTCACCCAATTGTTTGGGTGCACCAACAATCAGGTGACCAGACTGCGCTTTGGTGGACTGGGGATTGTCAGGCCAAGGACTGCCCTGGCTGGTGGTTGGACTGACCGGCGCTTGACGACCGGCGGGTGCGCGACCGTGAATTGATGGACTGGCGGCTGACTGGGTATGATAAAAATAACTCGGGTAATTGTAAGATCAAGTGGTATCCTAGTGCACGACGGACGAATGTTTTTCGATGTATTGCTGAAAACCATCCGAACGGATTAACATTTAAGCTTATGTTTATCTACTTATTCAGTCATACCTTAATAAGTCTGGTGTTCTAAAACTTTTGTTGAAATCGAAGTTACAAGCTACGTTATAAGAGAAAACAGTTAAAAATGCGGGTTGATTTTTCCTGCGACGTCACGAAAAAGAGGCTTCTCGCGTATATAGAGGCCTTGTCCTCGGAACGGCGGATTAAGGCTGCTCTGCAGACTGCAGTTCAACGTTTAAAAACTTCAAAATTCTCTGGACTTTCTGACTCTTTTCTACTTTTCAAGTTATGTTCGGCGAAGCAAATGTCGGTCCCCTAGTAATAGTTAATGAGCCATTTTATGGAATGGAAGTCCAGTACAGTATTGAATTACAGGGAGGATGTTCGACGGGGTTCCATTGTATAAGACTGTTGTCTTATATTGTATGATGGAACCCCATGGTATAAATGCACAGTGCATATACAATATTATGTACTGTACCCTAGTTGTACAGCAACATCTATGATCAAAACCCATATTATTGAGAATTCAAATTGAAACGATTTTGTATTTTCAGCTTTCTAAATCGGAATAAAACCACTAATAGAAAAAGGAATTCAGAGGCATGTGCATACCGCGCGATTTTTCCCGTATTGGAAAAATCCGAATTCCGAATTTTGAAAAATGCCCACTGAAACGACGTGGGTGATCAATGGGCTCCTCGCATCATAGAGTTTCCGTGAATCTTAGAAGTAAGACTATCAAAGCTCGACCTTGAAAGGTATAGCACGATCCTTACTCGCTTTCAGACGAGGTAACCAGTAATCGTGAAATCCATCCTTCTCAAGACTAAAGGATATTTCGTCTCCATCGTCATCTGCAAATGAGATGGAAAGGCGCATTATAATACACAGTACTGTATATTCATTCACACGTGAAACAAGTTGTTTCGGCAAATATGTCCGTGAAAAATTTCGACGGATCAGGAAAGATTTTTCACATTTTCTCATTACAATAATACGAGATGAACGAATTAGGGAACTCCTTTGGATCAACAAATGAGCCGATATTTAAAGGTTTAGCGGATCGCGAGTATCAAAATGCATTTGAATTTTGCGAGAGGAAGATTTTAGCTGGACTTCGCGTATACAGTATACTCTACACTGTACTTGTAAAGACGACCGATGAGATATACTGACCAGAAATCACGCTATGAGGCCTGTCGCACTGAACCGAAGTAAACGAAGTAAAATTCTGCAAAGATATTATCGAAAGACGCCATTTATAGTCATTAAAAACTGTGACACTTTAACTAATAGCTTTGATTTGTTTTCTGAAAGTTTGTTTAGAAACTGCTGCATATCATTGTAACCATATGGGATACACACGTATTTTGAAGATTAATTTTCAAAATGTCTGGAGGTTAGTGGCATTTTCCCTTTCATTTGTGAATGAGGACCTCATTATATTGACGGAATGTGTGGTTTTCAGCAATGATTTATGTTTCAATGGTGTGTCAGAAAAATCATTTCGGAATAATTCTAAGAAGTTCGAATTCACCTATATCCTAAAAAAAAAGTAAAGGTCGTACCGATCCAAACGATGTGGGGGGTAATATAAGAACGCTTGTAATGGAGAACTTCTCTCAATATCAAGGCTTCTGGGGTATCCGCATGTAGATCAGATGGCGGCGTCAGCGTGTACGGGATGCGTAGGATCTTGAACGGTTTTTTTTTAGCAAACCCATCAGAGCTTTCGGTGTAGTAAAGGTGCACCTTTAGCTGCATCCTGTAGAAAGCAACAACGCGTCTTCAAATCTATTCCGTATTACCTTTGCGAGAATTCTTGCACCACAATTGAACACGTTTTCTCTCTCGCATTTGATCGGCAAACTTTTCACATGATTGCGCAAATGCTTACTGAGCCTGTGGCCAGCAGAATCTATTCTTTAGCTCAAGAAAAAAAAGAGATGAGACAGAGGTATGAGAGACTGCTTGTATTGTCATTTCTTTGCGAAGAAATGCAATGCAAGCAAAAGAGCTAATTTGAAAAGCTTCCGCAATCATAAGATAATTTGGTATAAAACCAAGAATATTCTTCGCGGAGCGAAAAACAAATCTTCCAGGAAATTTCAACTCACCTTGCATTCACTGTTGTACGCTCCGAAAGATCGAACAAGAGGGCACCTTCTTTAGCAAACGCTGAAACTAACTACCAAGGTCTAGGATATTAAATTATCGAAAGCGTGACCAAATATCTGTAACTGGAAACAAAAGAAAGACGTAAGTGATGAACGTGGATGATACCGACTTAATGAGGGAACAGCAGACGCCCATTTTCCAGGGGCGGTTGCTGCTTATTGCTCCCCCATCACCCTCGTTGAACCATGACGCATAAGATAATGCGGAATACCGTATATTTTTCACGCTTTAATAATTCCTTCCTTAGAAATTGACTTTCCTGGTCTCGAAGTATTTTCGCACGCACCAATGCTGTTGAGATTATTGTATGTGAAGAACGGCTTACGCGCATTAAATCAGAAAACTTGCCAAGTCAACTCGGTATAATGTTAAGGAAATTATTTACTGATTCAACACAGCATCCAGGTTTTGAAAAATGCAGTTCAGGTATTCGGAAACACCAATTATTGGACTTACAACGCCCAAAAAAAACTAACGCAAAGAAAGAAACACGATTTCGGAAAGCACAGAGTTCATGCAAGCAGCACATCCCAACTAATTGAACTCTAGCAAGATTCTGAATAATGTCAAGATGGATTCCTCAACTTTTGTACGCTTCCATGATAGAAACTTCGAGAAAAATCTGGGAGTTTGGTCTTTCTCATAGTTGCCAAATTATTCATCGTAGCTTCACAAAAATCAATAGGAATACAGTACGCACAGTGTACTGCTGTATACCAAACTTCTGATCTTCAGATTGGCAACAATAGAAGAGGGTATCCAGCTGGGGTGGATGTAGCACCTTGCCGGACAACGCAGATGACGTCACACCACCGGGATTGTGTGACGTCATGAACTTCTGGTTATACAGTACAGTAATATTCAGACAGTTCCGAACGTATCGAATATTGAGTGTTTAAAAATACGACGGAAGTTCGATGTCGAAGAATAACATCATATATGTCACGAAAGAATAACGTCGTTTTCGTTTATACTGTACCTGGCAAAACCATTCACAATGTTTAAGAAGCTGATTAATGAATCATGATGAAGCTTATTGATGGAGTGGTACAGTATGCAGTACGTGTGGCGGTTCTTCGCCGGTGAGATTCGACCTAAACGGGCCATGAACCAGCCGCAAAAATGTGAAAAAAAACAAGTCATTCTCGTTTTCGCTATCGGTGAATACGCAGTTACACAATTTTTTAGTACAGTGGAAATTCAATTACTGTGTACAAAAATCGCAAGAGCTTTTAAAGGTTCAGTTATGAACATCATGGGCACCACGCTAAATTTTTTTAAATAACTCCGTAAAGCTCAAACTTGCGTATTGATGGAAAACATAAATGGAACAAGTTGATTTGAAGTTATAGCAGCTGAAAGAAAGTTGGAGACTCTTGGTGCACTGACGTGCCAATGAAGATTTTTACTTGAAAGGAAATCACAAATTACTCTGATAAATATCTCAGCCAATCAGAATTTGGTTTGCGCGTCGCCGTTTTTGCGCTAAAAAATTTTAATTCTTTCAGACGATGAACTTATTTTTCTTCTCGCGAACTTAATCTTCCCGAAAACGTTTCTGTGAGGTTGGAACACTCGAAATTGAAGAATATCTTCAATTTCGGGAAAAAATAGAACATAGCTTCAAGAGAATTCAGTACTACCCAACTTAACTTGCATCACAATTATCTGTAGGCTCTAAAAGCTTACAATGCATTTCACCTTACCAATGATCGTTTCCTTATACAGTACTGTAGTCTCAACTCTATCGTCACTGATACCCTAGTATTCATTAATCTAGTAGACGGACGGCAGATTTTATAACATGAAGGCTCGCATGGATTAAAAATGAATCAGGCACGAGAACGCTCCAATATTTCTTTATTCCAATTCTACACCGAGAAAGGAAAATACGCCATTCCGACGTTTCTCGTGACAGGAAAGCCTAACGGACCGGGAATCCGTTCGCTAAATAATTAATTTTCCGGTTCGCCGACTTCCACCATCCCAATAGCGGAGAACAAGAAAGAAATTGAATCGTCAGCTGAACACAGCAGCGACCACGAGAATGTCATAAAGGTACCAGAGATGAAAATTTCATCTTTTTAAAGGAGGGAAGCAACAGAGCAATCTTTGCGCTCACTCCTCCAAACGCATCTTGTATCCATCATTCCGCTGTTCCTTTCAATTCCGTTGACTAGATTGCACTAAAATAAAACTCACGGAGGCATGAGCAGGGTGTGGAACAGCAAAAAGGAAGAGATTTAAGATTACGACTGAGCACAGATCCATTTCCAGATTTTTTTTTCATGAAATTTTTCAGTCGATATGACTTTATCGTCCAACACTTCGAGGAGTTCAGGGATCCAGAATACCGGACTACCGAGGTGAACATTTGGCGAGGAGATCCACATGAACGGCGGCGAAGAAACGACAGGAGAAAAATGCCTTCGACGACCCAGAATATGCTCAATGTCGCCCGGATTAAAAAAAAAAAAGCTCGCGAGTCACACCAACTTCCCGTTCAGCAAAACCCACGGGTTTCTTTCACAATACCCACGAGGCACAAGTTACCAGGGGAAGACACAAGAAGCACATCACTTGTATTAATGCTCACACTCCCATCATCGAAAAAAAAAACCGTTACGATTCGGGTTCCGAATAAATATACACATTAGAAACGTCTAAAACACGCACATCGCCCAATTTTCTCCCACGGCAAAATAAAACGGAAAGCTATTTCGGGAGAAAAACCGTCCTGGGTTTCCCGACGGAGTGTTCCGAAAAATAAAGGAAAACCCAGCTCACCCAACAAACTAACAAACAAAGCATTACAAACGTGTAACTTCGCCTAAACCTTCGTACCCCCGTTGGTGAGTGTGCAAAGCTTCGTCCCAACCAATAATGGACGTGTTCAATATGGCTCAGGGAAGAGACAAAATATAGCCATGGCTCAGAGCTCTGATCTTTACTTTTCTTCCTGGCACAATAGGAAGCACACATAAACGCAGGGACGTTACTCAGTACGTATCAGGCTCAGGTTCTCGGAACGACTCGATTTATGCTGCGATCAGATCCCCAGCAATTTGTCCACCAGTTCACCAAAAGGGTAAATTGCATTGTGCGAAAACAGAAACCGAAAGGTAATTTAGCCTCATAGAAAGTCAGGTCTCAAATGCGCCACAAAAATGCCCGCGAGTATAAAGGCCATTGCTCATTTCTATTTCCCGCACTAGCAGTTAATCTCGCGTAATTGAGATAAAGCAAACAATGTGTCGGCCTAAAAAATATATGCAAACATCAAACACAGATTTTTTTTTTCGTTCTAAAATGTTTGAGAATACGTTTGGTTTTTGTCGTAAAAGTTCCTCTTTCATCAGAATAAGGCCACTGAGGAAGTGAGAACTCGTCTGGGTGGACGAACTATTTTTGCGCTGAACATCAACCAACAGATGAAAAAATAGAGAAAAATTCGCGACAAATATGTTAGGGCTCCTCCCAATCGCGTGTGACGCTGAATTCCAAGCAAGCATAATTGTCTTCGTTGAAGTCTTAGATCACTTCGACAACTTGCTTATAACTCGAACAAGGGCTCCATTCTCGTCTCGAAGACGCTGATTTTCCGTCTTCAACTGTTCGAATAACTGAAAAGGTGAAGCATCGCAATTAAAAAATCACAATATTTCTAATAAAACATCAACGAGCACTCGAGGAAAACTTGAGAAAAATACAGCATTTCAGACAGTTGAAAAGATCACCGCACTCAGATGTCCGTTAAGAAAAATCGTCCAAGTCATGTGACGGTAGAGAACAAGACAATTTCAAAATGGAATTCCACGAACATGCTTCATCCACCATATAATATTTTAGTGGGTTCGGGGGAAAACACGATTCAACTATTGATGCAGGAGGGATAACGGTCATTTCAACCACATAAAAACTTCGAAAAATCCGTCAACTTTCACGGTAAGAATTTCCCTGAATTTCCTCAGACGCGTCATCTATGTAACTTCCCGTAAGTGACTAGGGAATTTCGAAACATCCGGTCATGCCAGATGCTGCTAAAACAAAGCAACGAATAGTGAAACGTCAGAGGTAAGCAGTCAAAGGGACATCACAAGAGATCAGACCATTAGAATGCTGGATCAAGCAGCAGAATGTTGGGTCACACAAACGGGGAGAGGTGGAAGAAAGGCTTGCCTCAAATTTGATGCACCAGGACGATGTACCCACCACAGACGAAATAAGGGAAGTAGGAAAAATTGACTATCACCAGACAATTAAAAAGCAACAACAAATAGGACACCCCCATAACGTTAAAACAATCATTTTTAATGTAGCAAATATACGTGATATTTCTAGGATCTGATAATTATTTTGGGAGAATCTCATAAATGACAAAAATCTAACATTGACGGCTTGGTGCACTGCATGATTGAAAGCTAAGCATCAAAAATATTAAGGGGACTGAGGAACAGGAAACTGTGGCGGCTTTCCAACAGGATGTTCAGGCGACCCTGGACTTGGGCTCGTTGGAGGGAATTGCAAAGAACCACTTGTCAACTTGGACACAACCCTGGTCAGCGCGCGGTTCTCCGCTTTCAGTTTCTCATTTTCCGCACGCAACTTTTGCAACAGCTACACTCCCGAAAGGACAGGCACAGCGAAGAGAAAGTGACGGAATTCACAACAATGAGTCAACATTTACTTCATAAGTCAAAACTTAACTTTACTAACGCAACGGCGAATTTAGAAACTCAACTGGCACTGCAAAAATGTTGGAACAACATCTAATAGAAGCAAAACTGAAGAGTTCAAACGATAACGGCTTTCAATCCTGGCAGCAGCTCTACTCATTCCAAGATGTATTCCTTGAAAACTTTCAACAAAACCAAAAAAACTTTGAATAGCTTTAGATACACTATTTTCAATAATAAGAATATTTCTTCAGAAGTATCAGATCAATGTTCAATTTACACGAATATCTTCATTGAACGATACGTACCTTCAACTCTTCCTCCATCTCAGAGAGCTTGCGTTCCAACGCTCTTCTTTCCCGTTTGTCAACATCGGAGAGGGCATTACGATTCGGAGCCTAAAGAAGCAAGCAGAAGCGCAGTTATGGGCATGAGATTCCTTTTCAGCATCTTAATCCTCAATTACCCGCTCTTTACTCACCAACTGTAAAACCTTGTCAATTTGAAGTCGAGCATCGGTCAAGTCTTCCTCAGTTTTCTTCAACTTGTCTTTCAAGAGCTCGTTCTCCAGCAAGCTCTCCTCGTATAACTGCTCGGGTGAGACAGGAGTGCGGTTTTACCAACAAGAAATAAATGTACATAAACTTCATCTTACCTTCTTGTAGTCAACTTCTCCGTTTTCTGAAGCCCTGCTGGCTGGACGAGAATCGCCTGCAACACTCGCTGGGCTGGAGGCAGCACCTGAGTTTCCATATCTGCTTCCTCCACGGTTGAGTCCACGGTCGGCAATGTTCTGTAAACGAAGAAGCGCCATTTTCATCAGAACTGTTCGTGAAGGGTGAAATATTTGCAGAAAAAAATTATTTGATCACAATGGAAAATTTTAGAAATTTTAGAAGAGTCATAATAAGAGAAAAAATACTCGATTTCCAAAATTAAACAAGTCGAAAAATGAGGTTTTTTCAATGGTTTCACTGAAAAAGAATTGGCCGATTTTAAAATTTATAAATTCGAAAAGAGCATCACGTCGCTGCAATCACGCGGAGTCCGTTAGTTACCAACGGAACTCCAGTACTGTATTTTACCTGTATATGCGTCATTCAGAATTTATGAGGCATTTCTTTTTTTACAGTAAATGAAAAAGAACCTCGAGGGGCATCTTCGCCATTAATAAGCCATCAGCGAAACGGAAATTAGGATTCGACTCATCGCTAATGCTTTCTTCGGTGCGTCACACGAGCATTTCGTTCTGATTCAATGCCAACGCAACTTGAAAAAAAAAATTGAAACCACGGCTTTTCCAAGGAGTCACCAGAAAAATTTCGAAATCCAATCGATAAATTCAAATTTTTTCACAAGAAAAGCCAGGTAATAGTCTTAATGATATAACTGCACTAGACTTAAAAGTTAAGAAAGTAGAAAAAAACAATCACTTCCACGCAAGAGGCTATCCGATTGAAGTCAATTTAAGATTTTGCGAACAGAGGAACATTTTATAAGAAAAAAAGAAAATGCTACAACAACCGGATGAGACAACGAAAATCCAGCGTCGTAGAACTTCTCGAATCCCTTCACTATCTTTCGTAGAATAGAACAGAAGAACGAGGTCACCATGATGAGCGGAGATTCGAACCAATCTCATTCATCAGAACTCGAATAAATTAACTTTATTCCAATGGTTCGAAAGGTCTGACTATTGCAACATCCATGCTACATTAAATATTACAATAAGTGAAAAGGGAGACACGCAAACGTATCTCAAGTCACGGGATGGAAACGTCGCTGGAACTAGAAAGATTTTTCTTATCAGTGCCCGTCATCTTGGGCGGATCGAGAAAACACGCAAAGCCTTTTTCCGGCTCCAAGGACAAGCCTCGCCGAACACAAAGACATCCGCTGTTCAGCTTCAACAGCCAGGATCATTCATACTCGGAAATGCGTATCGTGCATTAAGCACCATCATTTTCCCCCTCTTCACTGTCGGATTAACCAAGAATATTTAAACCTAAGCGATTTATTTCTTCTACCTTCCATTGCAACAAACATTTGCGGGCCGAAAATAAGGAAGAAAACTTGAGACAACCAGCACAATGACTTCGCCCGAGACGTGACATACCAAAAAACGCGTCTCCCCATTTTAGTCTATAAAATACTGAAGAGATCGTCCTTTCGTAAGGATTCGTACGTGCGTGAGAGAAATTATCGAGTCACGCACACTTCTCACCAAAACCCAACTGAAGAATTATGGACTCATAAGATCCCGAAAATAATGAGAATAGTTTTAAATGAGAGAAAAGCAAGAATAAATCATACTAGACTAGAACCATTCCATTCACGCCATAGGGAAAACCATTCCAGGTGAATTAGCATATTTTTTCAGTTACATACCTTTGATATTTCAATATTTTTTTCAAAATTGGATAGAACATATTCGATTACTTTCCTTTTCAAAGATCCATTCGCCGGAAAGTTCTTTCAAAGCTTCTAGGATGAACGTTTATTCAGTACTGCACGGCAGAACCTCGAGCATCCATATTAAAAAATCATTATTTTATTGATACAGTACTTCAACAAGTAGGAGTGGTATCAAAATATACTTATATCAAGATTCGAAGGACACTTCAGAGTTACTTCGAATTGTCGAGAAATGAATAAAACATTTGCATTCTTGAATTTTTCCAGATTTTCGGGGTCGACGTACTTCCTTCTACCGTCCACGAAAATATCCTTTTTTCTCAAATTGAAACTGCAAACATGTGAGAGACTGATTTCTGTACTGGACGTCACTCCTATCTCTGTATTTTCTTAGCTTGTACATGCCAATTGCGTATTAGGAGCTATCTCGGGTGAGAAATTCCAGTTCATCGAAAAATTGTTTCCCACTGTTCCAACAGGGAACATGAGCTTCAATTCTTCAAAATGAAATTTTTTTTAGATCTGGCAGTCAAGATGCGATGAGTCAACATTATCTTGAACACCTGGTAAACTTCAAATTTTGGCACAAGACCCGGAAAATCCAAGAAGAATACTCCGCGTGCAACAGCTGCAAATGATCCCATACGAAAGGCTTCACATTCCGCGCACGCGTTTAGCTTCTACACGAGTCGGCTCTTCCGAGTTTAACCCCGAAAAAAAAAAATATTGTATTAAAAAAAACTTGAGGAAGCTCGCATAGTGTCGAGGAAAAGACGAAAAGGGAACGTTGGCATAGCGAACGTGTAAGGTCATCGAGGTCGGCCACGGACGAAAACACGACGGGCATTTCAGCCCTCAGGCGCATCGCCAGGCGGCCAACCGAATCTCGATTCCGGCAGCTCAGCAGGCACAAAATGGATTCACATAAAAAATAATACCGCTTCACCATAGAACTTTCTTCCAAACGTTAGTAGCCTACGGGGAAAAAAGGAACGAACTCCCATTCAACCAGTTGACGGATAACACTGCGATTACCATTCCTTATAACAATATTATTGTCGTACAGCATTTTAATGCAAATCAAATTCAAATGAAAAATAAATATCCAGTTGCAATAGACACGCAGAGATCGCACTAAGGCTACGAGTCCACATCCAACCCACCATCAATTCGTCATGTTTATCGGTGCTCGAAGTCGGATTAAAAAAAAAAAAAAAAAAAAAAAAAAAAAAAAAAAAGGAATTTAAAAAAAGAAAAAAAAACAAAAAAAAAAAAAAAAAAAAAAAAAAAAAAAAAAAAAAAAACTGGGAAGCGCGTTTTAAGGGTCTCTTCAATGCAAACTATAAAACCACGGACGTTTTCCAAGCCATTTAAAAGCATTTTGTTGACCTACTTGTGTACGTACGCCAGGAAAGCGATTTTTCAAGCGAAGTACATCGGGAAATGAACTGCTCGAAGGAACGTTTTAAACAAACGAAGCAAAATCGAGAAAACTGGAACGGCATAATTTAATATACTGTACATTAAATTTAATTTAATACACAGGAAATGTGTATGGTATCACGCGTAGAATCGAAGAAAATTTGCAGCGGTGAAAACTGAACGCCGAAATTCGCGCACATCACAAGAACTTGATCTTTCCTTAAAAGAAAGAAAATCCACTTCGACCATTTTACGTTTTAAAACCCGGAGGTGCGTGGCCCGTTGCCTAATGTCAGCCAAAGAGAAATCCGGAAGTCACACGAGCAATTAAGCTACGGACGAGACTTGAAGAATGACTCAGACGAAAAGGCCATTAGGAAACCATAACCATCAACTTGCGGCTTCACCCTCACCCTCATTTCGCCTCAACCTTTCCCCCTTCTTCGTCCGCGTTAGAAAATTCACGCACACAATGCGATGCAAAAAATCGTGCACGCCATATTTGGAACGTCATCAAATCAACAGACTATTTGTATTTTATCGTTCGTCTCAGCTCATGCCGCTCTGCAGCCTTTTTGGCGTTACTTGACATGCATCGAGGTCCTTGTGGATTTTCTTCTGTCCTCTCCTTCAAAGGCTACAGACATGAGGAAAGCTAAATCATCTTATACACAATGGAACATAAAGCACTTCTGAACCACCGCGCGTCGCGGTGAGGAAAAAAGAGGCGGACAGCGACATTTGTTCCGAGGTCAACACGTGTACTTGAGAAAAGGGCATCCCATCCATCACTCACGTCCGTAAGAATTATGATCAGCAGAATTCACGCACTCATACATGAAATGGAAAACTAAAACGAGATCCAAAAGGATATCGCAAGAATCTCACGAACTGAGAAATGAATCCGAACAAAAAATAATAAAATACTGTACTGACATTTGAAGAATCAGATTGGATGCCAACCGACTTCGGAATAGACAAGCTCCAATTAACATACCGTTTTCTTAGAGAAGTCAAAACAAATATCCGTTCTGTAACATGATATTCTAATCAGAATTCAATTATAATAACTGGCATGGCCCATTCTATAAAGAGTTCCAGGAAAGATAAGATTCGAATGGGCCATAATTCGTTCGCGAAAATAAACCTGCCTTTTGCATGCGCATTTGAGGCGCCGAAGATTTCTACTTCAACCTCAATTTTTGAACTGCTCAAAGAGAAAAAATTTGACAATAATGCGGTGAATCCGTGACGCAATACAATACATGAATACAGGACTACGCATCGTTTTCTTCCAAAAATAATTCAAGAATTCCACCGTGAAGGGAGAGCCAAGAAGTGCACACTAATTCATTTACAATATTTCGTAAAACTTCGGAGTATCAGTAACAAAATCAAGATTAACGTGCCAAAATGTTGATTCATGGAAAGTAAAGAAAGTGGCCTGCATGAATAACGAATCGTGATATCAATACTTTACTGCATTTACCTAGCCGTGATACCGTACGGAATTGAACTGTATTTGATAACGTAGCTAGGCTAATGCAATTCAGGAACCTTACTTCAGGTCAAGAAGTTTTAATCCGGTCAATACTATTCTCTGTGTAATCATTCGTGATAGGTATTCCATCACTGGGAAAAATCTTGATTGCAAGTACAGTACCATTATAACACCCATGACACACTTCAATCACGGGTAATAAATAGAAGTAAGGTACACGGCTGACTCCACCTGACCAAATCATGATTTCAACCATTTTCAGTATTCGCGTCTCGGATGAGTTAATGAGATGCATTAGAATGCGAATAATACTAACGTTTCGCGATTCAAATTTTTAAAATCCGATTCTTCTATTCGCAAAAATGCGATCAACTGCATCATATTTTCCACGTTACCAGAAAACGGACGCATTTCTTAAAAACGATCGCCTCTTACAACAAACACGTACAGTACTAAGAGCTTCATTCAACGTGTCAACGTGACGAAGATACATCCAGATAAGATATTACCCTTTGCAAGATGGGAACACATGAAAGTTCCCATCTCGCACTTCAAATACAGTTGAACCTCGATAACTTGAACCTTCCCAAGTCGAATACAGTACCTCACTAGGCCGACTTTTTTGGAAGTCCCTGTCTGAATCCCTTACAAACGATGCATTAAAAACCTCTCCAAGTCGAAGGCTGTCCCCCGAAAATCTCCATCACCCGAATTTTATGGATTCATTTTAGTCATCATTTTAAAGAAACAGGAAAGAGGAGAGCAATAAAGCCGTGACTTGATGCATTTTGAAAGGAAGTAAGACTATTCGGGCAAATGAACCCTTGCCTCCAAGTTCAGTATCCTGTCAAGTAAGATATGAAGCAATTTGAGGCCCTCAATACTGCAACACCAATTATAATTTTTTGTAAATCTTTCTTTCCACAAACAAAAATGCTCGTTTCTCCAACTCGAAGCCTCTTCAACTCAAATTTGTTCGCTGGTCCCTTGAAGTTCGACAAAAGAGGTTGGACCGTGAAATATGAACTTCAAAAAACTCGTCCAATAGAACGTACGCCTTAAGCCAACCCCCTTCTTGAAATGAATCAAGATCTTTTTGCGAGAAACCACAGCGTGTTTTGCTTAAAAGATGCATCAGAAATCTTACGGGACTTGATCCGTAGCCCTCAGACACCCTGGACGCCAAAGATGACACAGAGGAAGCTCGCGTCATTGCACCGCCGCCGAGATTCCCAGCGGAGCTAGCACTGGCCAAATAGCCGCCGAGCATCGTGGTCGCCGGCCTGTGATAGGATCGTCCACTCGCCGATCGATGAAGCTTTGACGAATACGCTCCATACGACGAACTCGACGGCGATGGAGAATATGAAGGCGATGAATACGACGAAACTGCGGGGGAACCGTACGAAGCGGACACGGGCGAAGAGTACGACGTCGACGGCGACGCGTAAGACGAACCGTACGGTGTCGAGGAATACGCCGATGTCAGCGACGAAGAGGTGTGTCCACTGGCGTAATTTCCGCCCAAGGCTGACCGGGACCCCATCGGACTCGTCGAACGGTGGTGATAAGAGGACGAGGACGCCGAAAACGGTTTCAGGCTCGACCCATAAGTGGAGCCGTAGAAGTTGCCACTCGACGAGCCGCCGAAATGGTGATTGTACGACATGTTTTCGCGACACACGAGACTTGTCACCAGCAGAATAAGATTAGATCAATCCACCCTGCCAAGAAAAATATCCCGGTCCGATGCGAAGGCGCAAGTTGAGATAACGAGTCACGGTTTCACACCGACGCTTTCGCAGACACGATTCATCACAGAATTCCGAGTAGAACGGGTGTAAACCAAACGTCTTGTCTGTGTCAACGCCGAACACATAACCTCAGCTCGTGTTTACCTCAAGTCACGCAATCCATGAACGATTTCCACACCATTCGAACATTTACATTCAACAGACCTACAATATCGTTTCGGCTTCAAGACAATTAAATTCATGCACAAACTGAAGCGAATCAGTAATTTTACAATCGCACCGGAACGGACGGAAGCAGATGAAAAAACGACGCACGATCGCGAAATAACCTGATAAATGAGCGCGCGCATTACTTACTGTACACTACATTCGCTGCTGAATCATGTCTATTTCTCCTAACGAATAGTAATTTGGATCTTTAATAGTGCCAGAAATCCTTCAGGCCTACTGATGCACAAAATGATGGAAATAGACGTTTTTTCTAATAAGCACCTCCGATGCACAGTTGCACACGTGAAAATTTATACTGTGAGAATTCGAAGAAAAATTACTCGCTCACCAATGCTATGATAAAGTCGAATGATGGAATAGGTCGGATGCTGCTCTTCCAGCTTTAAAACACGAGGACGAATTCCGTCGGTTTAAGCAGGCAAAAATTCGAAGTAACGTACGGTAAAATATCAAAATGACCCAAACGAACTGAACGAAAATGTATCGTACTCATATACTGTACTGCAAAACACGTTCATGGATCGATATGTAATCTTAAGTTAGGGAAGATTCGAACATTTGGCTTTTCTATGAGGGTAAACTGACGAAGATTTCCAAGGAAACGCACAAAAATTAAAACGTTTCAAGTATTCGGAAAGATGGGCCAAATCCTAACTCAAAACATAACCACTCCAGATCCGAAGTTTCCACAAGACGCATTCTAGTCTATAAAACACTTATCGTAACGAAGGTCAAAAGGAACGGTGATTAAATCAAGTACTGTATTTGGCATCGATACACAAGTGCTCCATTACTTCTTGACAAAATAAAAAAAACCCTGCCACAATTGACGTCATCGCGCATTTTGGAATGCGTTCACGCAAAAGGTGCCAATATGATACGATGCGTCACGGACGAGAAAAAGGTTCACGGTAACTGAAACAAGAGTCAAGCATTAACGCGCTAACGGTGGCGTATATCCTGTACTGTACGTGCTTGGATGCCAGCTCGCAAAACCTACGAGTCGAGCCAATTTCTTCACAAAACCTGAAATTATCATGGGTTCTGACGTCACACTTTCCGATCGTTGCAAGGCACTTTGAAGGAATACCAGACATCATAAGCTTGCAACACAAACGCTATGTGCACCACGCTTCTGGCATACAAAATAAGTGTTCAGAAAATAGCTCGTAACGTTACAACCACCAGAGAGCATAGCAGACCTCAAGAGTTCATTAAAACCCACTTATCATCTTAAGAAATTTATGTAAAATTTAAAAACAATTTCACAATCGGTTGAGATAAAAGATCTTCCATCCACTTCACATCGTGGATGACCCGAGACAGGACCTCAGTTCGCCGCACACGCGACGACTCAGTACTTCGGGACACAGACGCATCCGAAAAAGTTGAACTAACGTTGTGCCATGACCTAGAAAAGCAGATGAATGCGCCCAAACCTTGGGCTTCCTTTCTCAACGTTCATCCATTATTAACAAATTCCCAAGTTATGATGGCAGAGAAGAGCCAAGCACGTTTTCAGAGGAAATTAATAATAATAACCCAAGAAAAAAAAGAAGCTGCAAACACTAACACAAGGAAGCATTTCGAGTCAATCAGCGTGAAGTACTTTTTTTTTTTAAACTTCTTTCAATACAACTGCTGATTTAGGAGGCGCCCCATGCCATTCACGACCTCCCCACGCCCAATTCCACAACCAACAATATAATTTTGAAATCTTAGACTGACCGAAAAACAAATTTCTCAATGCCCTATCAAGAACACGATACAACATGCGTTGCTGAAAATCAAAACCGCTTGAACCAGGGCAAAGTTATTTTACGTCAGCTCTTCAAATTCATGAAGAAAAGCGGTATCAGCTCATCAAACAAGAGAAGAAAACGGAAGTAAATTTAAAATTTAATGGACGTTCCTTACAAGTCAATGATTGCATTTGCTGGAGGTTAGTAAGATAGATCCATCTTATCTTTCCGGTGCGTAAAAACAAGAAGCTTCATTTTCACCACGGTATCTTCTCAAGATGGAAATACTCCCGAGTTTCTTTACAGCTGCTCCCGTCGAGATTATAGCTGAACACAGTAAGTAGTCAACGAACACCCCTTTCAATAAAAAAAACGAGTTCATATGCACGATTGACCATATCCTTTACAATGTCAAGCATATTTCTCCCTGTATTTTTTCTTGTCCATAGGTTGACTAAAGTGACAAATGACCTGGTTATACAACTGTGAAAGGTGAGTACAACTTCGCAGGAGCATGTCATATCGTGTTCGCTCGCATGGCGATTCAATGGGGAGAATTATTTTCCCACGACCCCTATTTTTCTAAAATCTTGACGTGGCAGTCAAACACGAAACCCCTTCTTGCACCAGGAATACTCTAACCGTATCAATGATATGGGTTTTAAACGCTGTCACGAAATTGAGAACACCAAGTACTTTTCGCGCACTTACTTAATTCCAGTAGCACTGAAAACGAAGCCCACCGCCTTCTCGCGATCTAATTCTTTCGGAACAGCAGCCTGCCTCGAAAGCCAGCGTCGGAAGAAACTTCAAGGCTCCCCCACAGTTGATCTATTTCTGAAGCGTGCCCCCGCGAATCTTCGAATAAAAAACGAGATCTCCCCGGTGAGCGGGTGCCCTGCACTAGGGAACCCGAGACACAACCGCGCAACGTCCTCTCACACAGCCGCGGACTTCAGGAAAGACGCTCTCTGTCCACGCTCGCGAAAATGACTCAGCGCCAACGCGTACCCCATCTGTAATGAGCATCGGATTCCCATTTACGAACCGCACAGTCGGGAAAACTACGTACTGTATACCGTAAATAAATCTAAAAATCATGATCTCTCGAGACAAAGAATAGTCACTTTAAATTTACCCTGTTCAGAAAACAATAACTTCGTAGAAATCCGCCGCGGTAAACGCAAGTAGAGCGAGACTGTCGAACGTCTAGCTTACACCAAGCTTTTCCGCCTAGCCGCGAACTCCAGCATTTCAGAGATTCTGGGCACGTTTCAAAACCGAAGGTTGAAAGCAGAGCACCTCATTGGATGGGGGCAGTCAAGACTTCGATTATCAGGAAGTAATATCTTCAGTTCTTTCGACCATGTCCAATTACCGATTGCACGCGGATCAAAAGAGGTCTACACGAAATTTAAAAACATTTTCCCCTTCGGAATTTCAAGATATTCGGAATAAATGGTCAAAAATTGTTTCAGATTCGGTCTTAAATTTGTCACGGCGAATTTCTATGCCCGTGGCACTGAATTACTGCTTTTTCGAAGATACTTCAAAAAGAAAAATCCACAACAAATGGAACCTTCGAAATATTCAGAGAAGAGCACAGGTCAAGCACAGTACCCAACGTTGTGTCAACGGAATCTCGTTCAATTAAAATCCTTACTGCATGTATTTATTTAAGGAACACGGATGGAATAACGCTCGAAACAGAATACTGCACAGTATTCTCATTCACAGGGACCTTCGACGGGAACGGAAGCCGTCTTCATGAATGCATGACCGAACGACGACACGACCGGACACTTTAGCTAGATTCCCCATAGCCGTGGACAGGCACTTCGGATATATGATTTCGAATGCTTCTACGCACGATAAACATCAGTGTCCGTGACAAGAACAATTTTTTAAAAAAAAAAAAAAAAAAACCGGCTCTTCCCTGCTTCCCGTAAAATAAATCAGGTTTCGAAACCGCGACGACGTTACGGTCTTCTGGCAGTCCCATTTAATAATAATGTCGTGGTATTCGATAAGGCAGGAGATTCGCGATTAACATCGAACGTGACGGCTAAAATGTACTCGATCGTAAGACCGCATTTCGAAGAATATGGTTGGCTGCAACCAATGAACACACTGCCCATTACATTTATTTATGCGAAGGTCACGATCCACGCATCAACTTGTCATAAAACTTCGAAAACAATTTCCATTAACCCAAGCTGACAAATAGCCAAGATTACATGAGATCTAAAGGCATCCAACCCAACCCACATTTGAGGACTTAAAGAGCGACCACGTTCATTCGTTAAATCTGCACAAAACTCAGGAACATAATTGCAGTTCTATTCCATAAAGCGCAAGATTTGATGTTAGAAATACAACGGAATCTCTTTCATCTAGGCTAAAGACATAAGCACTATTCAGCAAAATAAAAATCCACGGATAATTCGAAAGACAACATTTTATCAGCTGAGAACCGGACGTAATGCCAACAACCTTTATTTAAAACTCCAAGAACAAAACATTTGACTCACCCAAAATAACGAAAATACAGAATCAGAAATTTTAAAGATAATATAATGGATAACGATAAGACCCGTTGGTGAGTAATGATTAAATATTCAAAGATCCTACTGAATCATTAATCGAAGCATGTACAGTATACTAGCATTTCTACGGTGAGTAAGAATGAATCATCTAAACTTTACAAACTTGAAATCCTAAGAGATTTGAGTACGGAACCCAAGTTCGAATTAAATTGTGGCTCTTTTACTGAAAGGCATGGGAAGATTGAATCTATCAGGAATCGAAACCTGTTATCGAACTCACGCCATCGATCACTTAGCTCATTGGGCATAATACCTGTAATTACATCATTGCGTTTGCTTTTTCGCCGAGTGAATTCATTTACACCCTCAACCATGAGGATGAATAAAATTGCAGAGAAAACCGCCCGTAAAGATTCTGTATTCTGATGCCTGAAGAGAACGAACACAACAGGGATACTGTGAACGAATTACTCAACACCTCACAAGTAGAATAAGTTGAAACGTAATGGGAACTCAATTCACGACAAACCATTTACCCTCTCACAAGGTGAGACTCAACAGAGAATTATATGCCTCTAACGATCCCTCATCTTACGAAATCCAGCGATTCGCAACGGAAGTAGACGACCTCATTCGGGTTGCTTTACCGCCAGAAGGACGATGAAAACGGTTGAGAGGCTTTACGCTATACAAGAAGGAAAAACATAGTGACTCACGGTAGCGGAAGTTGTGGAACTGCTTTCAGTTCGACGAACAAAACGATCAGGTAGTGGAATTACGACGGTTGTTGCTTCAACGTCGAAATTTTGGTCACCGGATTCTGAGTTGGGATCCTGCGAAGCACGAAGGTATGATAAACGTACACCATCGAAGGACAATTTAAAAGTCTAAATTACACTCACGTCGGGATCAAAATGCACAACACCCGTCGATCTACGCTTCGGTCGCCGTTTTCTTTGGATTGCTGATTGGGAAGCACTGTTTCCTCCGCTATTCCCATTTTCATCATCTAAATTTACATGAAAACGCGAGATTATTGCAAAATTAAACCCAGACGATATAATACAGAGATACGCACCGTCGTTGTTTGTGTCAGCCTCTACGCGGCTCCGATCTTTGCGGTCTTTTTCCGCTCTCGCATCCTCCAGCTGAAACTTGACGAAAAACACGGCGAATTCCAATTCGCTTTGATCATTACGCCAACAAAAAAGAGTATCCCCCAAAATTTACAAATGCAGAATAATAAGCCTTGAAGATATTGCCGAAACCATGGACCAATTTTATGTCTTGTACAAGCATTACCGGTGAAATACACAATAGTACTCAGAACTAACTGTGATACAGTAACTGAAAACAAGATACAGTATTGGCCCTTGAAGGAACTGTGTGTACGTTGATATATTGTCGTCCACGGAAAGATGAATTCGAAGCATCGGGCATTTCGCTCAACAATCAATAGTTCTGGAGTTCACCTGTGTATCGTAATGTACATTTTCGGCAACAATAATATTCACCAGTCGACAGTCTGCGCGGAGCAGAAGATTCACCATTTCTCGTCATGCAAATAATCCACGAAAACATACCTTATTTCGATCACCATCATCTTTCGTCAGTTTCCACGATGGCCGTCGCTCACTTGAGCCTTTGATCGGGGAATTGTCGGAACCTGGCAGCACAGTCGCGGTTGCAGTAGGTACAGCAGTTGAGGTGGGAGAATTCTGCTCCTTGGAAAGAAACGAAATCCCCGACTTGGAACAGAGTTCTTTCGACGAAAAACATTCGGGTACACGTACGAGGGCATTAGTAGCAGTTTGATTTTGCTGCTTTATGGTTTGCTGAGCAGCTTTGATGTCATCCAGCGTCACGCCTTGCGTCGACCGACGAGTCTCACGGACTCGCTTCGCATGAGCTTTACGCTGTGTCTCGCTTTCCTCGTCCCGAACTGGCGGCACGAACGACCTAAAATATTTGGAATCAGAATTTCAACTACGGCACATCTTTTCTACGAAAAACGTCAGCAAGTCCAAAACAAAAATAAAATAAAAAACACGCAAAATGCATTCGTTTGGAAATCCACGCCAATCCACACACATGCATGTCAAGCAGATAAGCATATTCCGGTTGAACGAAGAAAGGAGAGTTCAACGTATCCGGCTTTTTTTCCGCAAGTAATTTGGTTATCCTCTCTAAAATCGATGACGGCGGAACTATCGCTCACACCGAAACAACTAATGCAAGCCAGAGTCTTACGCACTTGAATATTCTCGAAAGAAACCCCGCGGCGGAAAACTTAGTCGGTGTCTCTGGCGTCGTTGAACCACTGTGCAAAAAACGGAATAAAAATTACAGAAACAGATCCTATCTGAGTAAACCGCACGCTCTGCTCCGATTCTTACATATACACGCGGACCTCATGTTCCTCTATTCCGATTTACTGGAATAATTAACTGAAACATACAAAAATCTCGAATACGAACTATAAGCGGAATAATAAAACAAACAACAAAATGATCGTATGAACAGAAATGTAACAACTAGGTTACGTGGCATCTCGGGGGAAAATGAACGTAGATTACCTTCGAACGGGCGATTGCTGTATTGATCCCTGAGACGAAAATCCAGGAGAGAGGTTGTTTCCTGTGACGAGCAATGAATCAGAGGCTGGCTGCGACAATGGCTCTCTGAAATGCACAACTGTATTACACTCGGTTCCGATGAGGCACCACGGAATACAGAACTGTAAGGCAATACTAGGGGGTCAACAAAATGACGCGAAGTACCAATACAAAAAAACAACGCCATGCACAAACCAAAGACAAGTGATATAACGACAAACAAGTCACTACAATATTAACATGAATCAACGAAAAATGTACAAGTGCACAACGAACCAAAAAGACGCCACTGTTAAACGTTCTCATTAGTTCGATAGAGAAGATCCAGCAAATGGACAGGATTATCAGAGAAGAGGGTTACCTAAGTGAGTGCCGAGTAAAAGACTGAACACCAGGCGCCTCCATCAGAGAAAGGTCTGAAGGGTAAGCGGAAACAATACTGTCTCCTTTGGGGTACACTCCAACAATCACAGCAGATTGGGCCGACGGGGTTTTAGGACTGCCTCGACTTGTCGATGAGTTTGCACGCCGCCGCGCTGACAACAAAGCGTCGGCCACGGACGACGGCAATTGTACCTCGTGGTTTGCGCCCGATAATAACGGTGACGGGGGCGCAGACCACGTTTGCCGATTTTCAGTCTGGTTATCATTCCCCGGTCGAGAGGCAGTTTCCTCGATCCGCTGACGCAGACGAGTGTACTGGGCGTAAAAGCTAGTAGGTGGTTTGCATGCAACGGCAATTAAGAAAATAAAATAAAGACAAAACCTCAAGTTCCTGAAAACACTTTCTAGGTTAATGTCGACCACCAATCTACTTCACTACAGCGTAGCACGGTAACTGGAAATTGACACGATGACGAAAATCAAGAGGGAATAGAAAGAGGACAGGATAACTTTGATATAGTAACAACCGAACGATTCGAAGAAGAACTGTACTTGGAAACGTCTTCAGTATAAAAAAGAGTTTAAATTTGCTTCCGCTTTCATCATCGTAACATAAAAGAATTTTTAATTTGACAGAATATTATTTCGTAGATCAACGAAAAATTAAGTATTTCATGATGAACGGATACAGCCATGGTAACATAACTGGGTTGACGGAGTAATATTCTTTTAGTCCCACGTCTACTAAGAAAAGCGTTCAATATAAATTTTCCGAAACCCCGTTCCTTTGATGTATGTCAGAGAAACGAAGTGACAAATGGAACAACATTTACTACCTTTGGCAAGAGCTTTCAGGCATTCGGCGGAAACTGGTGATAGAAAGTTACTGTGCTTAGCTGTCATAAAGTAGGAGGTGCGAGGAAATATCTACCGATATGTTACAACATTCCGCCTGCACCAAAGAAACATTCCTTTCAACAAATAACGAACAGTTTTTATTTCTCTATTCAGTATCAATGAGAGATTTCGTGAACATCATGCTTTTCCTGACACACGACACGGCAATCTAAAGCTTGAAGACATACGATTGGATGAGAGCTTGCAATTAAATTTTGAGACTATGCCACTATCTCACGAAAAATCTTCGAACATTCGGACATAAATTTAAGATTTCTGCGATGTTTATGCTACACTTGCACGTTCTTCGCAAACCTCACACGACACATGCAGTAACGTTCCATTGAAGTAAGGGATTACTGTACTGATTTTGACGAACAACGTAGAACAGGAGGAAATCCAACCACATCATACACTCAGCTAAATTTCTCACGAGGATTTAGTACAAAACGAAATATGAAACTATCACCATGATATGAATCATAAAATATTACAAACCTTTTATCACTTTCTAGTATGGTATTGAAGGCTCGTCTCGACTGAGGAGCTGCGGTGGCGTTTGCATCCAGCAAGACCTGTGGTGTCTCTTGCGATGATGCAGGTAACCGGGTGTTGATCACTAGAGCAGGTTCCTCACGTTTTGGAGCGTCTGCGTTGAGGACATCGCATTAAGATAAATTCAATTTAAAAAAGTTTCTCAATTTTACCTCCCCGCTCTTTATTCCTGAATGAGCCAGCTTTACGCCACGAGGGCACGTCTTCGTCATTCGTTTTGATGGTCAATGAAGGGGCCTCGTTTTCCAAGGGTTCTCGAGGCTTGAAATTGGGTACCTTATGAAAATAAAAGCTAGTGACAGTGGAAGTAAAACACAATTTAAATAAGAACTAACCGGCTTCAACACAGGTTCAGATTCTTTGGTAACATTTTCTTTTATTCCTTGGGGAGTTTTTGATGGCACAATGCGGAAAGCATCCCGACTGGTACGATTTTTCCGCTCTGCTTTGGAGAAAAAATGAATAAAAGATGAAACTTGCGGACCGCGGCAAAATTTTACAAAAATCTGGAAAGTAGCGAAGACGAACTACATCATTTCTACCAATTCTACGAAGCATAACCCGATTCCGTCCACATCTAATGAACATGCAGAAGCTAAAAAATGATACGGTATTAGAACCAGCACTTCAAAGAGTTCAAACACCCACGGCGATACGAGAAACGGAACTCATGACTTCTTCAATGTATTCAAGTTCCTTTGATACCTGTATGGTCAAGGCGACACCTGATGGAGCATTGGATTCTTCGTTATAGATTAATTAATGACGACCTTGATAACCCGAATAAACGGAACGTGCTCAAGACATTCGTTAGTCTGTCAGGATAAATTTGAAACTCTTGCTGATCGAGAATACGGATAAAATTCCTGAACAAAATGACGACTTCTGAAAGCGTCCCAAATGCATCCAGTGTCTGTTGACCATTGTCCGCACGTCCAGTGTGAGATTCGCGCGACGAGAAAACCTTCGCTTGCATGTGAAGAAAATTAACGTAGTGCCCAGATTCCCCAGTCAGTGGTAGTAACTTAAAAGCTTTGCCCTTGAAACCGTATCATCGTTGATCCGCTGTAGACTTACCGGATCGTAAACGATCGTCATCTGTCGGGTACTCTAGTTCCGACTCAGCATCAGAAGAGATCAATTCTTCGACTTCACTAGCTTCATCGCTGTCTCCCAAAATGTCGTCATTGCCAAGTTCTTCATCTTCCCGACCCCCCTCACTATCACTGACAGTTTCGTCATTGCTCTCTTCAGCACTCCCTTCATCACTAAGCTCCATTTCTCCACCTTCTTCATTCAAGACCTCAGTACTCCTTCCATAGCGAATATCGCCGAATTCTTCAAATGTTAATAGCAAAATGATACGAGGCAAACGTGTTAATACACAATGTATATACTGTATGTAGCTATATTGACGAATGAAGTCTCGAGCTCTACGGCAAGGTAAAAAAAAGCTTTATACACTGGCATCATCAGACGTATCCACTCCAACCTGACCGTATTTACAGAAATTCAAAAAGTATGAACTACTACACTCGATTCCTTGAACCTTATGAAAGAGGGACAGTCGCAATCGACACACAACTATAGCTCAACTAAAACCAAGAAAGGATACGCATTATCGTGACAACGTAACTTTACGACATGCAATTCTGGAAGAAAAAAAAAACCTTAGCAAAATGAGATCGTGCTTACCAACGTCACTATCCATGGATGAAGACGTGTCTTCCCCCTTGTCAGATTCATTTTCTGAATCTGCCTTCAGCTTTTTACCCGGTGCATCACCTATACCACTGACTTCAGCGGGAACCGTCTTCCCACCGATGATAGCTTTATCTATCCCGACGGGTTTCGGAACGGAAGCTCTGAAATTACACAAGATTTACGAAGAGTTTCATTTTTCTGAATCGAATGCTGGTATACCGTCTTCGAATGGGAGCCAGTGGTCGACGCATCAATACTGCTTGAATTTCTGGATCTTTCTTCCACAGAGTTTGGTTCTTCTTCAATTCTTCCAAAACTGGAAGCACTTCCGGATCAGCAACATCAAAAACAGTTTGACCCTGCGGTGAATCACGAGATCGAATTGTCTTGACACTAGAGCGTAACTACACTATAGCGAAACTAACCACAAAATTCTTTATGTCCATGTTGCACCATTTATTCGCGAGAAGCTCGCAAGCATCACGTTGATTCCAGTGGGCAGCTGCATGCAGGGGGGTCCAACCATCATAATCTTGGGCATTTAAATCAGCCCCCGCATCCACCAAAACCCTTCAGACGATATATTTCCATTATCCGTCCTTCCTTCGAACTAATTAGCTCACGAAATACTCACTTCATCACTTTAACGTATCCCTTCGCGGAAGATACGTGCAAAGCAGTAGCACCTGTTTTAGGATGCGAAGCCTCAAAATAATGCCCAGTATTCAGACACTTCAAAGCATCATCGTACATAAGTCTTTCTTCTTCATGCCTGGCTTCCTCGCAATTGATTCCTGCAATACAAACTCCTGCAATGTACGCCTTCACGGAAGCACTATTTCAACGGAATACCTTGGCGATCTACTTCGTCCTGTAGAAGTTGTTCCATCGCGTTAATTTCAGCGATGTCAAGTGGTAGTTCACCATCATTATTCACAGCTGCTACATTTGCTCCTTTTTCTATCAAATACCTGCACGAAAAAAATGTTATGAATCGAAGACTCCAATCGTAGGTAGTACAGTACACAGTTCTTACGAAGCAATACTGAGAAATCCACAAGACGCTGTCGCATGAAGCGGCGTCCATCCTTCATTGTCTCCACAGTTTATGTCAGCGCCGTGTTCAACGAGGAATTCAACCATGTCGAGATTGTCGTCAATGCATGCCTATCATTCAAAAGATGCTGGACGAGTTCAGAACCTCAAAATCTACTGCAACGACAATCACCTGATGAAGAGCAGTAAGTCCGTCAACATTGGCCGTGTTGATGTCCGCGCCGTGTTCCAGCATTCGTTTGACTTCTTCTTTATCGCCTGCGCTACAAGCAGCAAGAAATACACAACCGTCCGTAAACTTGATGCGCTTGTCATTCCGTTTCGGTTTGTGTGGCTCTCGGTTAGTGTCGGATTCATCCCAACGTTTCAACTGCTCGGCCCTCTTGAAGAGGGCCGAGTTACTTCGAGTTTCCGTCGACGACATGGAGAGCTCGAAAGCCTGAACTGGAGCCTGTTTCTTACTCCAGTTTTCTGGGATATCATCGGCCTCGCCTTGCTTAGGCTGGGATAACTTCAGAAAGCTCTAGCATAATGAATTTTACACAGCTGTAAAGCACGAAATCACGGCGAACTTCTTGAAAAATAAAACACAATTTACCTCAGGCACACATTTAAACTATCTGCGGAGCGAAGTCGTAGAAGGCATGAGACATCATGAGCGTTCGAGGAACATAATCTCTGAAGCTTAGCTCAGCACACGGTAAATCGATCGAACTCAAAGGCTGCTAAACGCAAAAAAAAGCCCAGTTTCGTAAACCGGGGATTACAACTGGAAGAATTGAAAAGCATACTGATTCAACTCTATTATTCCACACAGCATGAAAAGACATCCACTCGTACACGAAACACCAAGATTTCAAAATGAATGACACGAAGGCAATGGCACAGTATTTCCTCCCTGGGTTCTCGCGACAAAAATTCCTCGTGCCAAAAATTTGTCAAGATTCCTTCGTAGGCGCGGTGAATACACGGGTGTTTGTGCCTAAAATCCTGAGCGCCGCCATGGAGAATCGAGGTTGCACACAGATATATTTACTAGCGCTATGCTGTAGTATAAATGTACGATTCCTCGACAATTTTCTATGCAGATCACACCCATATAAATTTACCGTTCAATGCTGATGGCCATTTTATGTTGACCATTTTTTTCGGATTCGCATGATGCAGAAAGCATCAACGTATCGTGCTGAGTAACATTAACTGGATTAATTTCGGAAAAATTGGTAGTATATACACGCATATATACATCGTACTCGTAATACCGTATATACACGTACCACGCACTTAAATGCTGGAAAATCATGACTTTTAAAATTAATTTTTAAACTTTAAAATTAAAATAATTTTTGTTCCCGCAAATTTGATCACATGTCTTCGTACTATATCATCCTCACTTGTCATGAGTTGGTGGATGACATTGTTGTTCCTCCTTACCAAGGTCATCATGGATACCATCAATTTTGAGCTTTGCATAAAAATCCTTTCTAATTTTAGCAAACAAGAGTACACGATTCCCCGATCGTATTGTGCTTCATTGGTCACCGGTAAAAGTTGCCAGCTCAGACGTGGGTGTGCTGAACATTAAAGAATGCTCTTGAGGCTTGGAAACTAATGTTTTCTTGTTGTAGTATCATCTATACTAAAGTATCATTTCGTTGGGATTGGCGTTATAGAATAAAAGAGACTAATTATGTCTTATTCTTCAAAAACTTGATGCCTGAATGCTGGCCAGTGCTTGTTGATGAAGGTCCCAAATTGATTATGGAAAAAACAAGACGCAGTTCGCTCATCCTGTAGGGATGCACATCAAGTATTCATTGAAACATACGAGGTGCGATAGTACAGGAGGACTCTCTACAAAAGATTCTGATAACCAGGAGAAAAATCATCGCAGAGATAATTTTGTTGTAGATTACCTCTATGATTTGGGTTGATGCCCCTATATGGGACCACACTTTTTTTACGCAGAAAAAGTGTTATGGAAAGTCTCCCTGTATACTGTTGAAGGCTTTGACACCCATGTGCATGAGGGGTGTCAGAATTGTTTTGGTACTTCCTTCAGAAATACTGTACCCTCAGAGCATTGACCAGATATTGTTGAAAGAATATTGAATGCTAGAATAAAGTTTAAATGTAAAAAAATCTTCAAATGCATCTTTACTGTTGGGTGATAAATTTTTTGGTAGTGTTGTATATACAGAGATACCAAGAGCCTTTGAACTGATATTTAGGCAAACATATTTTACGAAAAGTATAGAAGGTGGTATAAGGTTGGTTCTGTGTTTTGTTGTTCAATCTTCCCCCCCCCCCCAAATAAAGTAACACAAAATTGATCTTAAACTGTATTTAAATTTACCCTATTTAACTTTTCAGTGTCCATAGTGTTTATTATTGTATTGCAGTTTCAATTAAAACATATAGTTTCAAAAGAAAATTTCAAAAGTGAGTTTTAATGAACCCTCAGAGTAACCTTAATACAGTACATGATACTGTAATATAAAAAAAACATCGAAAAAACTCGATTTTATTTGGTCTGTTGCCTGAAAATGTATTACAGTATCACATGGGAGGAGCCATACTTCTTCAAATCAATAAAAGAAGTCGGCAATATAAATTTTCCTGCCTCTCCAGAATCTACAATTTTGAAGTTACATTTCAAAATCTTTTGAAGTTTATAACTGGTGTTGTAAATTAAATTTGATTCTGTTTCAAACAACATTCTTTCATTTTCGTAATATATACAGTATATTATAGGTGTAGGTTACATGTTTTGAATATTTCTATTTTGAATAATATGGAGTTATTTATTCTGATTGAACAAATTTTAAATTTAATTTTGCAGGATGCATTCGTTTGAAAATAGTGCATTTTAAACAAATGTAAAAAAGGATTCCAGAGTGATGCTATGATGGTTCAGAATTAGATTCTAAATACAGCTGGATTCTGTAGTCTACAATGATATCCAAGGGAACAAAAACATTCAGAGAACCCGCCTATAATATGAGGAGAGAACCGTTCGGGATTGAGAAAAAAATCGTTAGACAGAGAATATGACTGTAGAAAAAGTCCACCCAAGTTCAACTGATCTATATACAGTACTGCAAATGCTTGCTATGCCTTGATGTATTAGAAATGGAGTATAATTTACTGTAGTTCATTTCAAAGACCGAATTCATTATTCACCAGGGGGACTTTCTGCTTCCGGACAGTGCAAGCACTATACTAATAGTGTTGGCCCTGCTGGTTCAACCTTGCCGATCCAGGCACCGGCGCACGGGTCATCCCGACAGGCGGGCATTGCTCCTGGAGGAAGCTCCCAGATGATTCACCCAGAGGGAAGTCACGGATATTGGGCGCGCGCCTGGTTCTTGTGGACAAGACGCGGACAACTCATACATAAACTAAGAGGGCTGTCTTCTCGTTGGATTCACAACTGGCCCTTGGTGGCGGCGGCGCTCGGTCGCGCGGGCTCTTGGTGCGCGCGGTTTCCCAACGGGCCCCTCGTCCGCAGTCAACGCCTGTCCTTCAACTGAGGGTTATCTTCCTGCCGTGACTCTCGTATTCGTGTGCAAGTGGAGGAGTTGCGGGAGAAAAGAAATACCGCGCGGAAGTTTTTCTGTGACGATTGGCGTTGGTGTGCTTTTTTTTATTCGAATATGTGGCAATGCAATTACGAAACTTGTGGTTAGTGGAATCATAATTCCCGAAGTGATTTACCCCGTTCTGTTTTTGCCGAAATTGAAAAAAGTCGTCGTGGAACAGGCGTTTCCATCATGTCTTGAAGTTTTCAAACGTCACGTGGTGCGTTGACAAACGTTTATGGAAATGTCATACCTCGTTTGGTTGAGTCAAGAAGCTCGATCGACTGAATGGGGAATCTATGTATGATCCTTCGCTGTGTTGCCAGAATTTAAGGAAATGTGGTGGATATAATCTTGCGTTAGCACTCTTTTCAGCTGGTTCATGGATTTAAAATAAATGTTGTTTGGGAGACGGTTATCAACCCAAGCCCAACAATAGTGTCTTGTCTGTATGTGGATTATATTTCTGGTAATATGCTGGTGTATACTTTCGAGAAGGACATTCCATACATTTTCCTGGTCACATGTATGAGTTATTTACTGTACCATCATGAGCTGAAAGTTCATATGGTCAGGAGAGTAAATTATTTGGAGTTTTTTAAGCCTTCAACCAGCTTTGGCCCCTGAAACATGCCATACTACCGCAGACATTTATTCTCTGCTTTGGCCTCTTGGTTCTTGTTCGGTGAACTTTCTGCCGACAGAGCAGACGTAATGAGTCTTATTGCGTCTGCACTGACACATTAGACAGAAAAAAAGTTTATCCGCGTGTAAATTTTGATGAAAAAGACCACAGATCTCACGAAACGCATGTACAGTAATACAGTATAGTATTAACTTCCAGCATGCGTTGAAGACAAATGCAGTCTTATACTGTGTTCAGACTTAAACACAAGCCCTCTTCGACAAGTATTGAACCTGAATAGGAGAGGGGGAAAGCTTATGACATACAGATTTAACCGCGACGAAGCACGAACTGAAAGGAAATCTCTAAAAGACTCATCATATTCGTTCTCAAATTTACTTTTTGCTGTGTTGCCGTTGATTGCATGGATCTCATGTATTTTCACTGAAGAAACACTGAAAAGATTGTTGAAAATTCATTGAACTGTAGAGCCCACGAATGGCAAACCAACCACTTTACGGTAAGTGCAGTAAATGTTGCTGTAAAAATGCGGTAACTACACATTTTCAGTTTATAACAAACATTTTTTTTTGTTTCCCAGGAGAAGCTACGTGGTACACGTGTTAAAAAATCCCATCACTGTCTATTAACAAAGTTATCGAAATTTGTCAAGTTTTGTACTGTGTTACCACAAACATGCAATTGTTTATCTCACTTTGAAGAATTTTCCAACTCGAAGTGGGCATAGCTCAAAATTTGTCAATGTATCTAGTGTGTGGTGGACGCACAGATATTGTCAACAATCAGCACGCCAGCAGTGCTGCTGAAATTGTAGCCACTGTCGATATGTGTCCAAAAAGTGTTGCTTGTGCAGTACAGTATTCCGTTGCCTGCTATAGCGTAACTTCCCGCAGAAACCCTTTTCTCATGATTTCGTCCAACCGAAACTGCCTATAGCTGCTGCTGTTGAGGCAAAGATCCATTTCCCTGATTTTGCGCTCCGATTCTCGCT